AGATACTTCTGGGGCCCGGCCTTCGCGGGCTTCTGTTCAGACCCTCCTGGCCTCCCCGGAGGGGGCCGGGTTACCGCAGGAAAGCGCTTACCCAGGGTCTGGGTGTGGGCCCTCTTACTCCGGGACCGAGCCTGGGCCCGGACCGGGTCCTTTTTTGATCCCCCTGAGCGGGCCCGGGAGTCCCGACCCTCCAGCCTCGGGTCCCCCCGATCAAGCGTGGAGGGCCGCAGAGGCCTGGAGGGCAATCTCGGCGGCTCTTGGCCGGCGCCGCCGACCCGGGTCGCCTGGAGCGCTCGGCACTGCGGAGGCAGCGCCCCGGGCCGCTGTCGCTCCGGGGGAGGGGCTGCGCGGCTGCGGGGACCGTGGTTCCCGCGAAGGAAGGACTCGACCCCCGCCTGCGACCCGTCCGCGCCCCGGGTGCTTCCCGCCCCGGTCCGGTCCGTGTTCGCATCACTTTGGACCGGAAGGATGCGGCAGTGTTCCTTCTCCACTCCCCTTCTTTGGTACCTTTGAAAGATGACCTAACTTTTAAACTAGTAATTTATTTGTATTTCCGTGATTGCAAATCATTGTTTTCCAGATTAAGAGTGTTCTTTTTAGACTCTTATGGAAACCAGCCCGTAAATTTGATACGTTGATGTTTTTACTTAACAAAATAGGCAACTTGTTGGTCGACTTAGGTTCCTTCGTTTATTATTTCCAACTCGTCGTTTTTTGAATTGGCAGAAGTTTAATGGTTTGATCTAGAAGTATTATGTAATTTTCCACCCAATTTCTTCCTTTATTTCCTCCCCTCATGTTAAACTATATGCTAATGTCAAAAAGTTCTAAATATAATAATGAATAAGGAAAAAGAATCAATGATGTTCCCATTATTTAAAGGTAATTAACCACAGTTAATGTTTTGACTTCATCTTCGAGCTTTTTTATATTTTTTAAAACTCATCTTTTAAAAAAATATATTTTATTGATTTTTTTCAGAGAGGAAGGGAGAGGGATAGAGAGTTAGAAACATCGATGAGAGAGAAACATGGATCAGCTGCCTCCTGCACACCCCCTACTGGGGATGTGCCCGCAACCAAGGTACATGCCCTTGACTGGAATCGAACCTGGGATCTTTGAGTCCGCAGGCCTATGCTCTATCCACTGAGCCAAACCGGTCAGGGCTCCTGTCCTCTTTTATATTCTCTTCCTAGGTGATCTCTTGCTGCCAATTCCCAATTCTTTATCTCAGACTTCTTTACTGAAGCCGAGATCCTTATATCCAACTGCCTATTGGACATCTCCCCCAGGATGTATTCAAGTTACATGAAATAACAGTCCAAACGTGAACTCATGTTTTCCCTCAGTTCTGCTCCTCTTTGTATTGCCTGTGGTGGTCAGTGGTACTGCACAGTCACCCACAGTGGAAACCTGGCAGTAACCCTAGCATTCTCCCTTGCTTTCACTCTCCAATAGTTCTTGCTCTCTAACCACTTTTATATCTGTCTCCTTTCCATTTGCACTGCACTGTCTAAGGTCAGGTCCTCATCATCTGTTACCTTAACCATTTTAGGAGTCTCCTTACTATGTTTTGTTGATTTTTTTATTTATCTTCCATGTCGCTGCCAATTATTAACATCATGAAGACATTTTTAAGAAACTCTTTTTGTAAACATGGTAAATATTTGTTTGTAAATCTTAGAGTATATAAATGACCCAGTGAGTAAACATATTACCTAAAACAGGTTATCATATATACATATAATAAACTTATTTAGAATAGGGAGTATATCTTATATTTCTTTTGTATCTTCTACTGCCCGTGGTAGATTACTGACACAATATGTACATCTTGGTGGACTGAAATGGGAAGCATGTGCAGCTTAATAACATTTCATGTTAAAAGGTTTCAGTATACAGTATTTGCATTATCAGACCTATGAATTGCTGGGTTATGCTATTATTTTGTAATTATTTTACCTTATTGTATATTTTTAGGCATCAAATAATATAATGCTTAGTACATTGTTATATAGATAGAGATACTTTGTGAATAGTATTTATTGAATTGCATAATTTTTTAAAGAAAAATTCCTTGGCTTTTTCTAATGAAAAACTATTTCTAGACCTTTTAGTTCCTGTGCTTTATTTTTTTGTACATTCTATATTCAGAGTTCCCGTACTGCTTTTTACTATTTATTTTTAATGTAATGGTTTTGTTTATCAAAGAGATACCTGTACATAATTTAAAGAGTTAAGTACTATAACAAGACTTATAATGAAAACTAATAGTCCTTTGCATCAGTCCTTCTCTCCCTTGCATCCCATTCTCCAGAAGTGTCCCTTCTCAATCAACATTCCTCATCAGAATCACGAAATACAGAAAATTATTTGAGTAACTATTTTATCAATTCCCCCAAGGATGGTATATAACTAGTTATACTTAAGATGCATGGAAGAGCAGTTAATTTATTACATAAAGTGGATGCCTTAGGGCAGTGGTTCTCAACCTTGGCTGCACATTAGAATCACCTCGGAATCTTTTTAAAATCCTGATTTCTGGGCCTCATCCTCCGGAAATTCTGTTTCTTTGTTACTAATGTTGTGGCCCCATCCCATAATAAAGAAACAGAATTTCCGGAGGATGAGGCCCAGAAATCAGGATTTTTAAAAGATTCCCTGGTGATTCTAATGTGCAGCCAAGGTTGAGAACCACTGCCTTAGGGCATTAAGGCTTAATTCTTTCATTGAATCCTTATTGAGGAAGGCTGCTCCTGAAATAAATTATTCAACTCTTTTTTTACCTCTAATTTTTAAAATAGCATGCGTACTTATACAGCTGTCTCCCCATTCTGCCCCCATCCTACCACAGTTTTAGATATTATGTACCAATTTCTGTTATAGAGTATAGGAGTATAGGTTTGTTATAACTACCTCCACCTATAAACACTGCATTGCATTGCTCCTCCCCTCTTTTCTATAATCATAAATTAGTTATGTTAATTTTTAGTTAAATCATTATTTAGTGTTCACATCATTGTGTAAATATTGTATACAGCTGAGCCTGGTAGTATATTATGATGATACTAGAGGCCCGATGCATGAAATTCGTGCAAGAGTAGGCCTTCCCCCGGCTGCTGGCACCAGCTTCCCTCTGGCACCTGGGACCCGGGCTTCCCTTGAAGCCCTGGCTTCATCCAGAAGGTTGTCCGGAAGGATGTCTGGTCTAATTAGCATATTATGCTTTTATTATTATAGATTTCCTTTTTTATATAATTTTGTTTTTCCTAGAGTTATTAGTTCTTTTAGATATCTTTCCATGTACCTTATAATATATGTTTTACAGCTTTTTAATGTATCTTTCATATCTTTTATTAATCTATTAACAACCCTTCAGATAAGATAGATAAATCTTTTTGTAGATTGAAACACATCAGATAATCTTTGTTTGTTTTTCAATATCTCTCCTGTAATTGTCTGTCACTCTGTCAATCTCTGTGTCAATCGTGATGGGTTGCTCTCCTCTCTAGGCCAGTTGTAGAGCTTTCTTCCCAGAGTGTGTCCTTTTATGATCTGTGAATTCCATTTGTCTTTCTTTGTGTTGGGTAGCCTGTTTCCAGGATTTCAGGTCTTCCACTTCCTTGCTATCTCCCTCATGTCGGTACATCTTCTAGTAGCTTCCTGAGAAAGACTGAATGGGAGGCAAATTTTTAGGATTCTACATGTCTATACATGTTTTTTTATTATACCCTTACACTTGGCTGATAGCTTAGCTGATTATAGAATTCTACGTTGTAATAATTTACTTTTAGAATTTTGGAGACATGGTTCCATTGTTTTCTCGCTTCTAGTTTGCTATCATGAAGTCCACTTCCAAAATGACAGTCAGTCCTTTGTATGTGACCTGTTATTTCTCTCTGGAAGCTTTTATATTTATTCACTAAGTATGTGTTAAGCATTTTTATGTGGCAGGCACTGGTCAAGATACTTTGAATATATGGGCGAACAAAAATACAAGATTCCTACCTTCATGGAGCTTAAATTTGCAGAGGGAGTTATTCTAAATGGTAAACAATAAATGTAATAAATACACTATACAAAATGTTAGAAGGTTGTAAATTAAATAAATGCCTAGAAAAGAGAAAAAGGAAAGCAGGATGGGATGGGGTGGTCAAGAGTGTTGGGGAAAGGAAAGGTGGGGGATGCATATTGCAGTATGATGTGGTGTGATCTTCCCTTAAACCACTCAGGTATTCTGAAATTTCATAATGATGTGGCTTGGTAAGGGTTTTTCATTAATTGTGTTTGGCCCTAATGCACCCTTTCACCTAGGAACCATATCCTTCAGTTCTGGGATATTTTATTTGACACTTTCTTTCTTTCCCCCCTATACTTTCTTTCTGGAGTCCTTGTAATTTGAATATTAGACCTTATTAGATTGGTTCTCTAATTTTCTAATACGTTCTTTTATTCTTCATCCCCTTCTTTTTGTTTTACTTCCTAGAATATTTTCTCAACTTTATTTTCCAATGCTTTGATTTCATTTTTTTAAATGTAGAACCGTTTTAGACTTACAGGATTATTGCACAGATAGTACAGAATTCCCATATACCCCATTCCCAGTTTCTCTGTTATTACAGCTTACATTAATATAGTACATTTGTCATGATTAATGCACCAATGAAGTCCATACATTATTCACATTACCTCAGTTTTTTCCTAATAGACTTTTTCTGTTCCAGGATACCACATTACACCGAGTAGTTTCATCTCCTTAGGCTCCTCATGGTTGTAACAGTTTCTCAGATGTAATTTGGTTTTGATCCTCTTGAGTGTTGAGGATTACTAGTCAGTTAATTTGTAGAATGTCAATTGGGATTTGCCAGATGTTTTTCTCATGACTAGATTGTGGTGATATGTTTTGGGAGGAAGGCAACAGAGATAAAGTGCCATTCTCATCACATCATACTGAGGGTACAGACTATCATTATGACTTGTCACTGTTGATCTTAACCGTGGTCCTCTGGCTTGAGGTAGTGTTTGTCAGGTTTCTCCTGAAAGATGTTTTTTATACTGTACTCTTTAGAAAGTCACTGTGTGCAGCATACACCTGAGTAGCGAGTTATGTTCCACTTCCTTAAGAACAAAGTATCTACATACATTATTTGGAATCTTTCTGCATGGCAAATTTGTCTTGTTCCCTCATTTACTTATTTAATCATTTATTTATCTCATAGATTGTTTTAAAGTTTTGGGTTATAATCCAGTACTATTTTATTTATTTTATTATTCAAATTGTTCCAGCTTTGGCTTTCGGGAGCTCTTTCAGTCGACTCCTGTATCCCTTTGACATACTTCCTACATTTGTGTGTGTGTGCATGTGTGCGTGTGTGCACTCCCGCTCACGTATGTGTGTGTACTTTCTTGGCGTTACAAGATGCTCCATGCTCATCTTGTATATTTCCTGCCCCAGTCTTAGAATCAGCCATTTCTCCGAGGAATCTCGGTTCTTTTTATTGGAGAAACCAAGATCTAGGCACCAACTGTGATTGTTGCCATTGAGAGGTCTTGCTTCTATGCCCTCCCAGATGACAGAGCAATATATGTACATATACTGTATATGTGTATTTGTATATATGTGTATATATATATATATATATACTATCTATATACAAATATCTAGAAATATTTCTATGTGTAATCATCTGTGCCATATTAAGGTAAACATGAGTTTGTTTATACTGATGTCTCAAATTCAAATCCATTACTACATAGATCAGTGATGGCGAACCTATGACACGCGTGTCAGAGGTGACACGCGAACTCAGTTTTTTGGTTGATTTTTCTTTGTTAAATGGCATTTAAATATATAAAATAAATATCAAAAATATAAATCTTTGTTTTACTATGGTTGCAAATATCAAAAAATTTCTATATGTGACATGGCACCAGAGTTAAGTTAGGGTTTTTCAAAATGCTGACACACCGAGCTCAAAAGGTTCGCCATCACTGACATAGATCATTGTAGCTTCCTTTCCTTGGTTATTTATAATCTTTCCCTCTAACAGAGAGAAAACTGGCTCCTACCATCAGCCATCAAATTATTTAATTTGAATTCCAGTATACATGTATGGTGATTTCAGAATTGTTAACCTGTACCCTCATGGGAAACAACTTTATCAACTAAAGTACAATGCTCATGTTCCTTTTGCCTTTAGTATTACATACTCCACTCATTTCCAAAGATAGCACTTTATTTCTCCACTCCAGTGAGCTTGTTTTATACATTTGTAGCACATCTAGATAGATTCTTTTGTCACATTCTGCATTCCATTGGATAAACCCCTGACCTTCTTAATAATTTTTTAAAAATTAGCATGCACTGAGGTTTATTCCTTGTGCTATAAAATTCTATGAGTATTGACAAAGGCTTAATGTCTTGTACTCACTATTACAGTATCATACAGAATAGTTTCACCACCCTGAAACATCCATTTTGCTTTAGCTGTTTAACCCTCCTCTGCCCCAGAACACTGGCAATCACTGATGTTATTACTGTCTCTGTAGTTTTACCTTTTCTAGAATGTCATGCAATTAAAATTGTACAGTATATATATATTTTTTAGACTGGCTTCTTTCACTTAGAAATAAGCTTTTAAGCTTTATGTTTGTCTTTTTGTGGCTTTCATAGCTCATTTATTTATATCACTGAATAATATCCCATTGCATGGTTGTACCATAGTTTATTCACTTACTGACTGGCATCTTTGATGTTTCCAAATTTTAGCAGTTACGGATAGAGCTGCTGTAAACATTCAAGTTCTTGTGTGAATATAAATCTTTAAATCAGTTGGGTAAATACTTAATAGTATGATTGCTGGATCATATAGTAAGACTTTGTTTAGTTTTGTAAGAGACTGCCAAACTGTCTTCCAAAGTGGCTGTACCATTTTGCCTTCCCACCAGCAATAAATGGGAGTTCCTACTGCTCAGTATCCTTGCAGCATTTGGTTTTGTCAGATTTTTGGATTTTAGCCATTGTAATAGATTTGAAATGGTATCTCAATGTTTTAGTCTGCAGTTCCCTAAAGAAAATTGATGTTGAGCATTTTTTAAAAAAATATATTTTATTGATTTTTTACAGAGAGGAAGGGAGAGGTACAGAGAGTTAGAAACATCGATGAGAGAGAAACATCGATCAGCTGCCTCCTGCACACCCCCCGCTGGGGATGCGCCCGCAACCAAGGTACATACCCTTGCCCGGAATCGAACCCGGGACCCTTGAGTCCACAGGCTGATGCTCCATCCACTGAGCCAAACCGGTCAGGGCTGAGCATTTTTTATATGTTTATTTTCCATCTGTATGTGTTCTTTTGTGCTGAGGTGTTTGTTCGGAACTTTTACTCATTTCTTAGTATGTATTGAAATCCTCTCTAATTCAGTAAGAAAAAAAGAAATAAAAGGTACACTTTTTGGAAAGGAACAAATAAAACTGCCTCTATTTGTAATAATATGATTTTTTCTTTAAATATATTTTTATTGATTTCAGAGATGAAGGGAGAGGGAGAGATGGAAACATCAATGATGAGAGAATCATTGATTGGCTGTCTCCTGCATGCTCCCCACTGGGGATCAAGCCTGCAACCAGGCATGTGCCCTGACTGGGAGCTGAACCGTGACCTCCTGGTTCATAGGTCGATGCTTAACCACTGAGCAACACCAGCCAAGCTGGTTTGTCTGTATTTATTGATGGTGAAATTGACCACTGGATTCAGATATGTTGGACTGATCCCACCATTATACTTACCCTCCAAACTTTCATCTAAATTTCACCCATTGATAGCCATTGCCTAATCCATTTATAGTATTAGGGTCTGTGAGAAGATGATTTTAATATCCTTCTTTATTTATTAACTGATATTCTTTTTTTTTAAATATATATTTTATTGATTTTTTACAGAGAGGAAAAGAGAGGGATAGAGAGCCAGAAACATTGATGAGAGAGAAACATCGATCAGTCGCCTCCTGCACACCTCCCACTGGGGATGTGCCTGCAACCAAGGTACTTGCCCTTGACTGGAATCGAACCTGGGACCCCTCAGTCCGTAGGCCGACGCTCTATCCACTGAGCCAAACCAGTCAGGGCAACTGGCATTCTTATCTAAAGGACTTTCCCTCAGCAACTATTTTGTTATGGTAAAGCATGTTTTGTAAATAAAGGTTAGGATAAATTCTTGGCTCTTTTCCTTTAATGTATCAATTTCAGAGTTAATGGGTTAGTGCCCTAGCAACCCTCCAATGGGTGGGGGTTTGTTTTGTTTATGTTTTAAGCATCATTATGGTCTCTTGGTTTTTATCTATTTGATTTATGTTCATTCCTTGGCAGTCTTCATTCATTTGATGTCCAGTTGTCCCATTTAAGCCAGTGGGAGCCCTTCAACTTGTTTCCTTGTCCTTTTGATATTATCACATTAGTCATTGATAAGATTCCTTTAGGGTCCTCAGGCTCATTTAATGGAGTTTCTGACACAGATTAATGGTTCATCTTTATTCATAAAACTAACTTTTACTTTTCTTGTTCCTCTCTCTTGAATGCTTGTTTTCTGTTTCTTTAATTTCTGCTCTAAGCTTATAAATTTTTAATCTTCTTTTCTAGTATAAGCATTTAAGGCCCTAGGTATCTATTGAAGTTCCACTTTTGCTGACTGTCACAAGTTTTTATATGCAGTATTTTATCTGGATGTAGTATATTTATATTATTTAATCTATGGTACTTATAACTATTTTTAGCTTTCAATTATGAATTTTTCTTTGATTCATGAGTTATTTATATAAGTGTTTCAAAATTTACAATAGTTAATGTTTGCATATTATGTTGTTAGAGTTGGTTTTCATGTCTTTTTTTTTTTTGTATATATAGAGGCAAATTCTCCAACTAAATTATAGATGCCTCAAAGCAATACTCTCAAATTTTATTTGTGTCTATATCCTGACTATGTTTTTTGACATACAGTAGATGGCATAATACTTATATGTTAGAGAATTAAAGGAACTATCATACTTTTTGTTTTCTAGGTATACAAGAATTAAATTCTGAATAAGTCTACAAGTAGGATGGACAGTTATTTTAAAGCAGCAGTCAGTGACTTGGACAAACTCCTTGATGATTTTGAACAGAATCCAGGTTTGTTGGTTTTTCATTTTTGTCACTAATGAAATTTTAAAATATCTTTAATTCTGTTATATCAGATATAGAGTACTCTTAGCAAAATTTGGTTTCGATTTTGGTCACATGATTATCTTCTACAAAAGATTCACTTATTTCATTATAACATATTAGTTTATTCTTATACTGAATGGAACAAATAGCTAGAAATAAAAGTAAGGTAACTAAAAGTTTCTCTCCAGGTACAAATTTAGCTAAAAAAGAAGGATCTTTAAATCCAACATATGAACCAGCTAAAAGTAACTTGAAAGCTCTACATAAGTTTGTATTTCATTACTATGAGAGATGGTATTTTCCACATCTTAGAATGAAGACTAGGAACCTGGAAGATGGAACAAAGAAGGTAGATTGTTTTTGCAGTTATTCCTTAGATTGATTTTTATATTTTAACTGAGTTATTTTGAATGAATTTCTATCACTTTATGATATTGACAGTCAAAAGTAAAAACCCCAAGTACTTTAAATTCAAATAAAAATAATTTTGGATGTTATTACTATTTTGCATGAGAGTACTCTATCTCTAAAAAAAGTTGTTAGTTTGGAAGTCTTTGAAACATGACATCTTTGTAATAATTTTTATTTGGGTCTCTTGAATAACACTGTATCTTTATTTTAATTAGATGAACAAGATTATCTCCAGGATGCACAAAATGCATATGATTCTAACCACTGTTCAGTTTCTTCAGAGTTGGCTTCCTCACAGTTAACTTCACTGTTACCAAAGGATCAGAAATGCATTAATTGTTGTGTCTCATCAGAAACATGCTATGAAACAAATCAGATTTCACTGAACGAAAAAACAGATGAGGGACTAACTTCTATACAAAATGAGAAAAACGTCACAGGACTTGATCTCCTTTCTTCTGTGGATGGTGGTGGCACTTCAGATGAAATCCAGCCTTTATATATGGGACGATGTAGTAAACCTGTCTGTGATCTGATAAGTGACATGGGTAACTTAGTTCATGTAACTAATAATGAAGAATATATTAAAAAATTATTGCCAGATGATTTTAAGGCTGGTGCAGATTCTTTGATTGGATTGGATTTATCATCAATGTCAGAAACTCTTTGTGTTTCATCAACAGACCATGGTAATAATGCTGTCAGAGAAGAACAAAATTATGTCAACTCTGAATTACAAAATAGAGAAATCAGTGGAACTAACGAATTGAATATTAACATAGATACAACTCTTTCAGATTCATGTAATTATAGTGGAAAAGAAAATTTAAAGGATATAAAGATCTCTAATCAGTTAGAACCAGTTGATGATTTGAACATGCCATCTGCCTTGACTCAACAAAGTTCCAAAACGTTTGATGCCAAAGACAACCTACAACACAAGAACCAGCCATGTGAATTAGTAAAAGCGGATGGCTGTGTGGTAGAAGAGGAGGTACATGTGGCGGTCATAGCTCCCACAGAATGTTTAAAAGAAAGAGGTAGCCTAAATGCTTTGCCTTGCAGTCTTCCAAAAAATGACAGTTTTTCCTTAAATGATTCAAATTCAAGAGATGAAAATTTCAAATTACCTGACTTCTTTCAAGAAGATAGGACTGCTATATTTATAAAACAATCTGCAAAAGAAGACTCAAAATTAGATCTTAAAGATAATACAGATGTAATCCAAGATTCTTCTTCAACTTTACATGTTTCAAGTGAAGATATATATTCCTCATTGTCCAGTCTTCCAGTTCCTGGGTCTTTGTGTGGATCATTGATTGAAAGTAAAACACATGGTGATTGTTTACATCAGGATGAGCATAAAGATAATATACAAGAAGCAGTGGCTGCGCGTGAAGAAATAGAGAAGAGTGTTATTCTGGGTGGGGAACCATTGAAGGAGACTGATCTTTTGAAACAAGAAAAATGTGAAAACATACTTCCTCAGCCATTAATTGAAAAGGTAGGAGATGGAAAGGCAGATCCTGACCAGAAGGAAATCAGAGTTGACTCTTTGGATTACTCTGATAACACCAGTTCTTCTACAGCAGCAGAATCTCAAATGGAGCTTTTGGGTGCGAATGCCCCAGATTCTTCCAATCATTGTGAAGGTCTCACTTTTTTAAGCAATGATATTGATGGACAAGACTTAGGTTACTTTAATATTGATGAAGGCATAAAAAGTGGCACACTAGTTAGTGATGCTGAACTTGATGCCTTTCTAACCAAACAGTATCTTCAGACAAGTAACATAAAGCCGTTTGAAGAAACTGTAAATGACTCAAAATCTCAAATGAATGAGATAGATTTGAAAAGCCTAGATGATGGAAATGACAATAATACATATTTCAATGCTGAAGCAGGAGCTACTGGGGAAAGTCCTGGTGAAACAGTTGATAAACAAAATACAGCAGAAATTGGTAGCCTTTCTTTAGGGGAAAAAAGTACAATTCCCATTGAACAAGGGTTAGTTAGCAGTAAATCTGAGAGTACTAGTGAATTGTCAGTCTCTGATTTTAACAGTCAATCTGTTTATGTTGGAGGGGCCAGACCTAAGCAGTTTAGTGTTCCATCAAGAACAAGGAGTTCAAAAGAACCAAATAAGCCAGATGTTCCAACTGTGCCTGAAAGTGAACCCAGCCTAACCATTGCTCCAACAACTTGTACTACAAATTCTATAGCTGATCCTCAGGTTAGTTTTAACTCTAATTACATTGATATAGAAAGTAATTTTGAAAGTGGATCCAGTCTTGTAACTGCAAATGAAGAATCTCTACCTGTAAACACTTGCAAAGAAGGCTTGGTTTTGGGCCAGAAACAGCCTACTTGGGTTCCTGATTCAGAAGCTCCAAACTGTATGAACTGCCAAGTCAAATTTACCTTTACAAAACGGCGGCACCACTGCCGAGCATGTGGGAAGGTAAGTTATACAAAATTTTTAAGTCTTATTCTTTTGAGACATTTTAAATGAAATTCTGTGTGACAGAAAAGCTCATTAATAGATTATTAAAAACTTCAATTAATTTAAAATCATTGTTTTTCACCTTCATGGAAATATAGAAAGCATTATCATTTTATAGATTGTTTGAGAGTTGAATAAACGTCAAATCATCATGAGTATTACATAATGGAAATGAGGAACACTATTTACTAATTTTTGTGAAATCTAAGAATACTTGTCTTTATCTATCTAACATTAACACATCAGATACTCTCAATTCAGCCAGATCTCCATTTATCCTTGAATACTTAATTTCAGAACTACTCTGTAGCTAGTGTTGTGGTCAGGTAAACACTAAAAAAAGATAGGCTTACACAAGGTTCAGAACAGTGACGCTGACCTCATTTGTGTTGTGGCTGCCATAATTATCTGTAAACTCCTGAGAGTTGGCTATAGAAGTAACATTGCTTTAAAAAAAAACACAACAAAAAAACCCCCAGATGAGTACATGCTTAGAGAGAGAGGGAGAGAGAGAAACATTAATCGGTTGCCTCCTGCATGTGACCTGAGGGGGCACTGAACTCACTACGTAGGCATATGCCCTGACCAGGAATCGAGCCAGAGACCTTCTGTTGTACAGGATGACGCCCCAACCAACTGAGCCATGCTGGCCAGGGCTAGATAAAAGTATTTTAATAACTATCTGTGAATATAGTGATCCAAAAAATTATATAATAAAAAAATGGTTTTTGGTTAATTAGATTTTGGGCCTCCCCTCCCCCTACCTCCAATAGGTATAAGTATGTGTGAAATAGAACCAAATTTGATATTTTATTCTTTATAGGTATTTTGTGGTGTCTGTTGTAATAGGAAGTGTAAACTGCAGTATCTAGAAAAGGAAGCAAGAGTCTGTGTGGTCTGCTATGAAACCATTAGTAAAGGTGAGTAGTAACCTGACATTTTCTCTAAGTAATTGAATATGTCTTAATAACAATTGGATTGTGACAAAGATAAACTTCTTTATTTTCTTAAGGCGAGGACCTAGTGTTGACTTATCTGGCTTAGGTGGGACATCCCAAGGCTTGGTTTCTCTTCTTTTTGTTCCACTGTCACACTTAATGCTACCAGTTTGGAAAGGAAGCATTCAATTTCTGGAGTGGCATTTCATTAACTTTTAACAGGTACCAAGTCCCTAAGTGCTGCATTTCATCTGCCTATTGTTTTTGCCATCATCATTTTCGTCATTATCATCTTAATCTAAACATTTATCGAATACCTACTAATAAATGGTATTTAATCTTATATATTAATAGCACCAGGCAAGATAATAGTTCTTACCCTTTAGAAAACTACAACCTAAAATGGGAATAAAAAATAAGATAGTGATATCTATCTTATAGATAAATTTATAGGACTGCCACACTATTTGTATATTTTTGTCTCATATTTTTTTCCCTTTTCAATTTTAGAATTTTGTTTTTATGTGTTTCCTACTGTTTCTCTGGCTCCCTAGCTAACTACCATTATGAGCAATAATCTTTGTGGTCTTGAATTCTCACAGTTGTGTGTGTGTGTGTTGTGTGTTTTGTGTTTTTTTCCTCAAATACACATTTGTTCTTTTGAGTACTTCTTGGCATTTTCTAAAATTTGTTGACAATTTAATTCCCAGCAAATATTACTTGGGACTTTTTAAAGACCAAGCCTGTGTACTAGCTCAGGCAGTGCTTCCTGTTAGCCAGGAGAGTAAATACCTGATAATAATTTGTTTTTCTCTTTTGAATGAAGATAAATTTTTTCAGCAGTTCTCCAAAAAGCTTTGATGTGAGTCTGTTAGCTTGAGGTAAGCTGCTTTACTCCCTGCTGTTGACATGTGTTCTAGAAGATAATAGAGTATAAATCTTTTTATATTTCTATATTATCACCATTGTTTGTGAGGAGGTTAGCTTAAGTGCTTATAGTTCTGTTTTTTCTTACACTGCTTCAATAGCCTAGAAGACAACTGCTCCTGCTGTTAGCCATGAAGATTTGAAACATTTGAGTAGATAGGTCAGATTCTTAGGTGGACATTAATACATATTCTGACTGTAAGAATCCAGAAGGGGAGAAGATCAGGAGTCATTAAAGACTCTCAGTAGGGTATTGAGCTCAAACATTGGTTTAGCAAAGAAATTCTTTTGAAAACCATTTGTTTATTTAGCTATCTTTTATTTATTCTGTTTTGATATCATATAGCATGTAATTTTATTTATGGTTCTCTTTAGCATTACTTTATACACCACAAGAAAACATAATAATTTGTTTTCATCACCTTTAGCATTGAAAATGGTAGAAATGATCATTTAAGATAATGTTATTAAATAAGAGGAGAAAGATGGCTCAAAGGTTGTGAGACACATTTCATGAAGTATTAGAAGAAAAAATAATTTGAATAGAGAGATGGACATTGAGGAAGTTGTGCTGAGACTGTAAGTTTCAAGACAGCCTGGGTGCAAGTGCCATTAGGTTGATTTAGGGCAAGATGGAAATTCCTTTGAAACCCAGAGTAAGATGTTCGGATTTCAGTTGGTTAGTGGAAGCCATTTCATAAGAATGCTATCATTTACTGTCACTTAAGGAAGGCACTTTTAGTAGTGGCAGCATGTATAGCAGGTCAGTTTGGAGATATGCTGAAGGGAGAGCTACCAGTTCTGTTCTGTGTTACTCGGATGAAAAATCATTCAGCAATGTTCAGGTACCATTCTGTATTCTGGAGCACTGGCTGAGAACAAATAGACTCCTTGTTCACATGGAGCTTACAAATTTGGGAAAAGTGGACGGACAGTAGGCAAAGAGAATAGCAGATGATGATAAAATCCTAAATGAAAATAAAAGAGTGTAAGAGGGGTAGATAGTAACAGATTGGAGGCAAAAGTCTGTATTTTTTTATAAAGTGGTCAGAGTAATGATAATGACATATGAGCAGAGACTTGAAGGAAGAGAATGAAGCTATGTGAATATGGGAAGAACATTCTAAGCAGAGAGAACAATAAGAGCAAAGGCCCTACGCTAGGAGAGTGCTTCTTGATTTGTTGAAAAACAAGGAGGCGTAGGTGGCTGGATCATAATGAGCAAGTGGAATTGTAGTGAGAAATGAGGTCAGACAGTAACTGAAGGCAGAGGAGGTCGGGATGTAGGCTGTGTAGGGTCTTATGAGCCATTGTAAAACTTAAATTGTTCACTCCAAGAGTTGGGAAATCATTAAAGGATTTTAAACAGAGTAATGATATATGATTTATGTCTTAAAAGAATCACTCTGTACTATGTTAGAAATAGACTCTAAGGGTAAAAGGCAAAAATAGTCATATTAAATAACAATAATTTTCTTTAATAGATATCAAACATAAGCTAAGTATAATGTTAAAATAACTAATTGGTAGCTTATACTGAAGTGGAGTGCTGCCAACCAAAGTAAGGACATGATCTTTGTCAAGTGCCACTTCTTTTTCTTGCTAAGCCAATGATTTCTTACTCCTTACAACTTGAAAAATAGAATATTTATCATATTTACTTTGAAATTTTAAAAAATCTGAGATTTTAATGTTATTTTCTCCCCGTTATAGCTCAGGCATTTGAAAGGATGATGAGCCCAACTGGTTCTAATCTTAAATCTAATCATTCTGATGAATGTGCCACCATCCAGCCTCTGCAGGAGACCCAGACATCCAGTGTACCTTCTTCACCTACAACCTTACCAATCTCAGCCCTTAAACAGCCAAGTGTTGAAGGTAACTAGAAGAAAATCCTGTGTCTTAGACTACAGATAAATTATTAAAATAGAAAATTTCTAGTGTTGACAAGGTCTAGTGAGGAAAAGAAGCCAGACTAGATATCAGAAGGAATTTAATACAGGAAACTGGTTATACATCTATATTAAAGGCTGGAAGAGCAAAAAGGCTATGCTCAAGTGACTCAGGGATTAGAAACAGCAGGAAGCAATCACCAACGCTAGGGCAGGGGGGACAAAAAGTGAGAAGCAATATTACTTGAGTACAGTACAGAAGTACCAGGAAGTACTTGGTTCTCAGACCTGGGATTTAGGGGTTGGGGTACCATGTGGTTGGTCCTGTGACCTCTGGGGGAACACCAACAGGCAAATGGTAGAACCATCAAGGAGACTAATAAGGTTCGTGCTCAGATGACTGAAGGAGTGTTCTGGGGTTGATGTAAAGGAGTACTGAAAATCATGGAGCATGCAGCTATATCTGGGGGTGCTGCTACTTCAAGAATCTTGGCAGGAACTCAAACAAAAGAATTCCTTCTCATCTTCTAATCTACCTGTGCCTACCATTGGTGGAACCTAACTAGGCCCAACTAGCAAGAGGGTCTAGGAATTGCACTTTGCAGACTTCCAGCGTGGCATCAAAGAGCTTGGTGGAAAAGGTAGGCTTGAGTTTGAGAAATAATAGGTAAAAACCTGACATACCTCCATTTCCTTAAAAATCTGTTTTTAAATGTATGTTTTACTAGAATAAAAATGGTTTTTAAATCTTTGGACTCTGTTCTTTTTTACAACCTGTTGTAGGTTAGGATCTTGAGTCAAGTCCATTCACATTTGTAAACATCACCTATTAGTCTGTTGTATGCTATAAAATGACTTTAACTATCAGTTAAAGGCAAATTCAGATACTTGTGACAATTATTTTGGACTTTAGTTTCCTCACTTAATAGCTATGTTCCATTTATCATTATCCTATATAATAAAAGGGTAATATGCAAATTGACCCTAACGGTGGTGACCGTATGACACGCACTGACCACCAGGGGGCAGACGCTCCATGCAGGAGCTGCCCCCTGATGGTCAGTAAACTCCCACAGGGGGAGCTCTGCTCAGCCATAAGCCAGGCTGACGGCTGCGAGCGCGCAGCAGCGGTGGCAGGAGCCTCTCCAGCCTCTGCAGCAGCGCTAAGGATGTCCGACTGTGGCTTAGGGCTCCCGGGCTGCCAGAGGGATGTCTGACTGCCAGCTTAGGCCCGATCACCCAGGGTGCGGGCCTAAGCTGGCAGGTGGACATCCCCACAGGGTTCCAGACTGCGAGACAGCGCAGGCCAGGATGAGGGACCTCCCCACCCCCAGTGCGTGAATTTCATGCACTGGGCCTCTAGTAACTTAAATAAGGAGATTCAGCATATATAGGAGTGGGCAAAAGTAGGTTTACAGTTGTAAATGCACAAAACAAGAGTTAATAAAGCTATTGTAATAATCTTATCCCATGTGTCTTTTTCCATCTGAACAAATGTATGCTTACATATTATAGTTCTAAAGCTGAATAAATTTGTTTTTAGAAATATTTATATGTTTTCTTATATTGACATTGTGAATTATTAAACTATAAAAGTATTGCAAATATAAGAAAGATACCTTATTTAATATGTGTACTCATAATGCAAAAATTATGTATGATTCTAGTTTTTTCAGTGTTATTCTGTATTATATTTTGGAAAGTAGATATATTAATCCTTTTAATCTTAATATTGTTCTAAAATCATCTGGCAAAAATTTTCATAACCCTCCTTTGTAGATGCTTTATAACAAAAGAACAAATATTCATGCTGATATCTAGTTACAGTGGGGCCTTGACTTACGAGTTTAATTTGTTCCGTGACGGAGCTCGTAACTCAAATTACTCGTATGTCAAATCTTAAAGTGAACGAGTGAGACACGTGATGCTGGGCTGATGTTGTGGCGTTCACTGTGACGTTCGCTGCGCCAACTAGCGGTGGGGTATCTGAAGCTGGCTCGTAACCCGAATTTTAGCTCGCAACTCAAAGCAAAAAATTGGCCGAGAGACGGCTAGTATCTCGAAAAACTCGTTAGTCGGGACACTTGTAAGTCAAGGCCCCACTGTATTTCCTCCAAATATGGGATGAAAATGTTAATAAATAATAAAGTTTAATATCTTCATTATAAGAATAAAACATATTATGCTTCTCTCATCAAATAAATTAAAAGAAATGACCTCTAATGCACAAGTGATCCTGTTTTATTTTTTAAATTTTTATGCCTCTTTCTGTTCTTCAAGTGTTTTTCTTTGCTTATCTGCCATGCTCTGGTATAGTCCATTTTTCTTTCCTTTGCCTTAGTCCCTAAATTTTATTCAGTCTACACTCCACGCTCACAAATTAGTTTTAATAATATAGGCTTTAAATTTGCCCCCTTTGTCTTTAAGAAATAACCTCTCCTGTCCACTCCTTTCTTTCTTTTTTTTTTTTTTTTTAAGATATTTTTATTGCTATTTTACAGAGAGGAAGGGAGAGGAAGAGAGAGTCAGAAACACTGATGAGAGAGAAACATTGATGAGCTGCCTCCTGCACACCCCCTATTGGGGGTTGAGCCCGCAACCAAGGTACATGCCCTTGACCAGAATCGAACCTGGGACCCTTCAGTCCAAGGGCCGACGCTCTATCCATGAGCCAAACCGGTCAGGGCGTGTCCACTCCTTTTCTGAATATGTGCTTCCCAGGCTCATCCTGCCTTAGTATGAATTAGAAAAAGACTTGTGCTCTGGGTAGCTGCACATAAGGCCATTTCTCTAGGCTTGATAATAGATAGCAAAAGCTTTTGAAAACATTTTCTGACCCATTTTTATATTAAATCATTGCAGTATTGCCAAGTTAAAATGCTTTATTTTTGAAACTGAATCTAGGATTATGTTCCAAAGAACAGAAGAGAGTATGGTTTGCAGATGGTATATTGCCCAATGGTGAAGTTGCAGATACAGCAAAATTATCATCTGGAAGTAAAAGATGTTCTGAAGACTTTAGTCCTCTCTTACCAGATCTGCCCTTGGTAAGGAATCTAAAGAATGACTTGTTAATTTAATAAAATTTTATTTTATAGGTATTTCAATTCCTTATGTGATTATTAGAGTATGGTTTTGTTGTTTTTTTTTTAACACTATGAGTTTCCTAAAATGAGAAATATTTGATATAGAGGATATTTTTTAGGTTTTACCTTTTCATTGTCAAACTTTTGGTCTCAATACCATTTTGTGCTCTTAAAAGTTATTGAGAATTCAAAAGAGCTATAAGTTTTGTAGATTATACTATAGATAATTACTATATTAAAATTGAGAAAATTTAAAATTCATTAGTTAAAATAAACTAATATTAATAGAAATACTATGAGAAAATTTTCAAAACAGAAGTTTAACCAGGGATAACATTTTATTTAAATATTTTTTATTGATTTTAGAAAGGATGGGAAAGAGAGAGATAGAAACATCAATGATGAGAGAGAATCATGATTGGCTGCTTCCTGCATGCACCACACTGGGGATCGAGTGACCGGGATTTGAACCTTGATCTCCTGGTTCATAGGTCGATACTCAACCACTGAGACATGCTGGCCCAGCAGGGATAACATTATTTTACATTTCAGTTTTATGTCTGACTTAGTAGAAGAAAAGTTCTCATAATTGCCTGTATATTCAGTCTGTTATATGTTGTTTTGATGAAATTATATGAAAAAAATCCTAGGACCTCACTGACTCCCTGAAAGGGTCTTGGGGACCCCAGGAATCCTTGGACCACACTTTAAGAAACACTGTTATAGGGAAATAGAACTGAGATTTAGACTAATATTTGTTTAATGATTTTCAAGGATTTAGTAAAGAATGTGATGGTGTATTTATGTTTGCATTTACACAAATGTACTAGGTGTTAAGTAGAAGATACATAATATAGAGTCCTAGTCCACTAAGAATTCTCATTGTAAAGTAGCAAAATGCTCATAGAAGCAAATAATACACAAAGTAAGAATGTTTTATTCATTAAACAAATATTTATTGAGTATTTACTCTGTGCCAGTTACCTGGTTTATTCTGGGTACATACATTAGACAAGATGGATATGTATCATGCTCTGTTCAAGTTCACATACCATATGCTGTTTGTCAGTAAGAGTTCTGGAGCTAGATTTTACAAGTAGCCATTATTACCAAAAGTGTTTCTGAGCTAGCACCTACTCTAATCAATATTTTAACAAAATGAAAGTTCTAAATAGGTTAGTAAGTATTATTTGAGTTCATAAATGGTATCATTTAATATTGACTCAGGTTTGGCCAGTCTAAAAGAAAGGGCTTTATTTAAACATATTTGCGATGTAATATATTACTGGTGGTTACTATTTTGGACTATAGTTACCATTCTGCTGCCTAACCACTCCCCTCTCTGTATTTCTCCCTTTTCTTCTCCCTTGCTTACCCAAGGTGTTTTGGTTGTCATGAGAAAGAGATCCTTGGGTTAACCTAATTTGCTCACTGTGTGATATGGTATAAGATCCTGAAATTCTCCTTGCCTTCTTTTTCTAATCTACAAAATTAAAGTCATTAGTACCTACATGAGCATACAGTAAAGTTAAACCTTATGCTCCTAGATTTGAAGAAGCCAAATGGTACTGTTTCTTAGGAAATTTGGCTTCTGAAGAATTTCTGAGCCCATTTCGGTTTTATTCTTATTAAAACGATATGTTTGGCTATAGAGATGAACATTTCACATTTGAACAGAGACTATAAACTGATTTTTTTTATTCCATATTTTACAGGCGGTAAACACAGTGGATCACGTCTATTCTGCTACAGTGGAAAAACCAAACAATGAGATAGGAGATATTACAAGAACTGAGATAATTCAGAGTCCAATTTCTGAGGTTTCATCTGTGGAAAAACTGCCCATAAGCATGGGAACTGAGGGGTTGCCTACTTCTGGATCTTTTACACTAGATGATGATGTTTTTGCAGGAGCTGAGGAACCATCTAGTCCTACAGCTGGTGTTTTAGTGAACAGCAGTTTACCTGTTGCTAATACTTCAAATTATAGGTTACTATGTGGTATTGACAAGAATGTGGGCAATAAAATTAGTCTTCTACCTAGTGATGAGGACAGTTTGCCCCCTCTTCTGGTTGCATCTGAAGAAAAGGAATTAGGTAGGAATAGCAGTTATTTAAATTTAAAAGTTGTGTTTTTGTTTTTTTTAAGAATGTACTGATGAATTTTGTCTATGTTGTATGAAATGCATTTTTTTAAATTTAGACAATTTGAAACATGTATTATGTCTTGATAACTTTAGTTTACAAAAAGTCTTATATATGACAACAAATTCTAAAAAAGATTTGAACTTTTGAGATGAAGGTGATTCATTTATAATATCTGACTTTCTAACTTAGAGTGAGACAAAAGGCCAATAGAACAGGGAAACTCATAGACTTTTAGCTCTGAAAATATTTCCATTGTATTAGAGTTTTGATTACATATCATTTTTTTTAAAGGAGTGTGGTGCCTAAAGAAAAGAATATTGGATTAGATGACAAAGCTAGGAATTTTAGTTTGTCATCGGCTATTTAATATGTATATGACTTGAAGCATGTTATATAATCTCTTTGGGCCTCAGTTTCTTTTTAAAAGAAGAGAACCTAGATCTATAAGGTCCTTTCCAAACTGAAGATCCTATGGTTAGCCTCTACCTCATAGTAGTTACCTAGGATACTTGCATTATGCTGCATCCTGCAACATGAAGTGATTATGCTCTGTGCATGGCAATGTAGGGGAATGGAGCTTAGGACCTCTTTATGTCAGTAGGTGCTATTTCATAAACCTGGCTATAGTGGCAAAAATACCTTCAAGCCCTGTTCTTTGCAGGCCATGGATATTTTTCTATTGATTGTCAAGATTTTTATTTTATTTTTAAATTTTTTTTGCCACTTGTTGCTGGCATAGGGCATATGTCAGCAAGCAGCATGTACAACTTGGGTCTAGATTACTTTCCCTAGCATTGTAAGTTTCAGAATTTATAATTGGAATGGCTGGCAGACTAGAATCCACTTTACAAAAATGTTTGTTTTAAAATTTTAAAGGTGCTAAAATTATATAAATATGCTTTTTAATCAACATTTTTGTGTATATACAACATTTCAAGATTTATATGCATTGCAGTATTAATTCTTTACATACATAGAAAAGTAAAAATCTATATATATAAAGAGGTAATATGCAAATTAGTCAGGATGCTGTAACAGTCACGACTGGCTCAGGAGGAGGCTGCGCGCACAGGGGGGCTCGCCCCTGGCCCGGAACAGAGACACAACACATGGAGGCCCGCCCCTGCTGGGAGATAGTGGACCAGCAGTCCCGCCTCTGCGCATAGCTGCAGAGGAAACACCTTTTCTTACCACTCATTGGCTAAGCTCCCTGTACACCACTCACAGTGTTCTTGGTAACTTGGGTAATAAGAATCCAAGAAGGTGTTCTAGGGTTTTCCACCTCACTCCTGGAGGAAAAAACGAAGGTCCGCTGCTAGAGGGGCTAAGAAATGTCATATCCTGCCCTAGCCGGCTTGGCTCAGTGGATAGAGCCTCAGCCTACGGACCCCAGGGTCCGGGTTTGATTCTGATCAAGGGCATGTACCTAGGTTACAGGCTCCTCCCTGGCCAGGGCCCAGGTCAGGGCTCATGCAGGAGGCAACCAATCGAAGTGTCTCTCTCACATTGATGTTTCTCTCTGTGTTTCCCTCTCTCTTCCACATCCCTAAAGATCAATTGAAAAATATCCTCAGGTGAGGATAAAAAAGAGAGAAAGAAATGTCATATCCTATGAAAGAGACATCTTGAAAATGCCTAAAGAAAGTTGTCATTTTTTCGTGGTGAAGGGACTGGAGTCCTTGTTGATGAAAACACCTTGGTGGCTGTGGCGGCTGGCAGTGGCAGCAGCAGGGGGGTTATGGGGGTGGCGCCTTCCCTGATCAGCTGGTCACCTTCCGTAGAGAGAGGCCAGACTGCAGCTTAGGCCCACTCTCTGGGGAGCAGGCCTAAGCCATCAGTAGGACATCCCCTGAGGGCTCCCAGACTGTGAGAGGGTGCAGGCTGGGCTGAGGGACCCCCTTCCCCAGTGCACAAATTTCATGCACCGGGCCTCTAGTAAGTATATAACAGTTGTCCAGGATATTGATTGACTTTATGGAACATGTTTGCTTTTGTTTACATTTGCTCAAGCCATTGGTAGATTTATAAATCTTGTTGTTTTTTTCACTGCAAGCATATTTAACAGGATGTCATATTTATTCTAATTATATGTCATTTTCATGATTTAGTGCCTGTAGTAGAAGAACACCCATCTCAGGAGCGGATCATTTTGCTTCTTGAAGACAAAGCTTTTCATCCTGTTACATTTGTCCTAAATGCTAATCTACTCGTTAATGTCAAGTTAGTATTTTGTAAGTAATGATTCATCTTTCTTTGCCTAATTGGTAAGCAGTATTTCTGAATTAATTACATCTTCAGGTTAGATTTATACTGGCAATCATGGAAAATAAGCAGCACTGGATATTGGATTTTTTAGCCAAATATGAATATAAATTTTTGCAAATTTATTTTCAGTGGGACTTGAAATACAAGCTTACAGATTTTTACTAGTGTCCCTCAGTAAGTCCTATGTTAAGGTCATGGGCTTATAGCTGAGCTGTATTTTGATGTTCATGATACAATTAAATACATTTCATTCATTTAGCTTTTAGCGAAATTAAAATTTGGTAATTGAGGTAAGCAAGAATCCTGATTTAGTAGCAATAAAGACAGTTTAAAGTCAATGACTTGTGATCTAATTAAAAGTAAGAAACTAAGTAATCTTCAGTAATAAATAATCCTTAGTACTCAACAATGCATCTCTCAGCTTTTCATTCTCTTTGAAACTAACCTAATTCTTACCCACTACATTTCACCATATTAGTGCATCTTTTATTTTAGTGTTATTTATTAATTGACTCCATCAGATAATCTTTTCTCTTTTCTACATTAATCTTAAACAATTCAAAGTTTTTGTGAGGAGAACTCTGGAAAAATAAGGAATTTGAAAATTGTGCTTCATGCAAAAGACAATTATATTTAGTTTTTTTGGTTAATAGAAGTGGAAATTGATAGTTGTATGCTTTTATCACTTAAGATTCCTCAGACAAATATTGGTACTTCTCAACCAATGGATTGCATGGCTTGGGACAGGCAGAAATTATTATTCTATTGTTATGTTTGCCAAATGAAGATACTATTCCTAAGGACATCTTCAGACTATTTATCTCCATATATAAAGATGCTCTAAAAGGTATAGCTTTTTATTTTGAACTGTTTATTTTTGTTTTAATTTAATTTTTTTTTGTTTAAAGTATTACAAATAGTAGAACATATTTCTTCTTTTTCCCCCCATTGACCTTCCCTCGGCCTCTTCCACCCCCCAGCACATGCCCTCATCCCCCTAGTGTCTGTGTCCATTGGTTATGCTTATATGCATGCATACAAGTTCTTAGACTAGGGGATGGACAAATTAATTAAAGGCATTTATGCTTTTGGTTATGCTAACTGTACTAAAGATTTATTTTGTGAAGAGATTATTGCTTTTTCAGGTCTTAATCATTGTTTTCAGTCTCCTTAAATCTAGCATTTTATCTGATTAGTGTCTTTATACAGATTTGAAAAAAATTTTACGCCAAATATATTTGCCTTCTTTATTTTATTTATTTTTTTATTACCTTCTTTATTTTTTATGTGTCTATATGTTTTTATTACTGTTTGTATAAGATTGGGGGGACATTTTGATTTTACTTGACCATGCTGTAAGGAGGAAATTTTTTAAATAGCTTATGGTTATTCCTATCTCCAGGAATAACCAAGCTTTGTGCACACAAGGTATTGAATAGATGCTTGTTCTAGAGTGGAAATAAAATTCTACATTGCCTTTGTATAAGAAAGTTTATATGGGAACATTCAAACTCAGGAAGTCTCTTTAAACAACTTAAAATCTTTTTTAAATGATTTTATTTCCAGGAAAATACATAGAAAACTTGGACAATATTACCTTTACCGAGAGTTTTCTCGGTAGCAAGGACCATGGAGGATTCCTATTTATTACACCTACTTTTCAGAAACTTGATGATCTCCCCTTACCAAGTAATCCTTTTCTTTGTGGAATTCTTATCCAGAAGCTAGAGATTCCCTGGGCAAAGGTTTTCCCTATGCGTTTAATGCTGAGATTGGGTGCGGAATATAAAGGTAAGTTTTAGAATATTAAGTTAAATTTCATAGGTTCAAATAGTAAAAGAATTCAGGGGTATCATTAAAATCAAAATTTTAATGGATTAATGGAACCACTTCTGTTTCGCTGTACTTTTAAAATTCCAAAACAACCCTCCTCTACTACCAAATTAGTCTACAAAACCTTGATATGTCATGAAGTCAAGTTTATAATTATTATATAAACTTACCTTAAAATATATTTTTTAAATTTTAGAACAGACCCACAAAAACTTGAAGTTTTCTAAAAAGCATGTACTGTAGAGAGTTAATTTTATGTTGCCTATGCGGTAAGAAGACAAATTATTGCCCCCCTCAATTTGTGTACATTAGAGAGTCAAACTTAAAGGACTTTTGGATTATCAGTGCTACTACTTTCAGTTCCTGACTATAATCAAGAGTTGACTATTTTTAGAGAAGGAAATACTTAAAAATAGTGGCTCCCATCTTTGTTAAGCATGAGGTTCCTTTTTCTTATTTTTATATTCCTGACATTTAGCTTATTACCTAAAAGTGATGTAAACTATCATTTATGTATAATTTTCAAATGGGGATTGTCTATGCTTTTATGTTGAGGTCATTTGGTTAAAATATCATTAAATGTTGGATTAGATGATTTGTGAGGTCCCTTTGAAACTGACAGGATGTCATTCTAAGTCAGAACCTTTTGAAAATAGTTTTAAATAAAATTACTTCTGTCAAATCACAAGGATGCTCCCTGATTCATAAGAGATAAAGGAAAAAGTCAGCATTTACTTAATGTCATTTACCACTACATCTTATGGGGTTTTTTTTGTTTTTTTTAAACACTAACTCAGTTCTTTTTATGCTGGTATTGCAGAGTCAGCATTTTTTTTAAAAAAAACATATTTTATTGATTTTTTACAGAGATGAAGGGAGAGAGATAGACAGTTAGAAACATCGATGGGAGAGAAACATCGATCAGCTGCCTCCCGCACATCTCCCACCGGGGATGTGCCCGCAACCCAAGTACATGCCCTTGACCGGAATCGAACCTGGGACCTTTCAGTCCGCAGGCCGACGCTCTATCCACTGAGCCAAACCGGTTTCAGCCATCTTATGTTTTTTCTAGTCTACATCCCCTGTCCTCCAAATAACTTATCCTTTTAAACACCACAAAACATGTAATAGCAAAGATGTGAGTTCCCCTGACTTAAGTTTTGAAAATAGATAATGTCAGGTGTGTTGTCTTAGAATTTTAAGAACTTATCTATAATAATAAAAGCATAACCAGACATCCTTCCTTCTGGACAAAGCTGCAGTGGGTGGGGTCTGCGGCAGAGGTGGCAGAGGCCCTGGGCCAAGGCCCTTGCACAAATTTCATGCATCGAGCCTCTAGTATTTATATAATAGGTATTAGAGAGGTTTGCTCCTTACCTAAGCTGAAGGTTAAAAATGTACCTGCTTTTTATCATCATAGAAGTAGTCTTACCTTGCTTTTTCACCTTCCATTCCTTCCAGAGGTCCTGCTACATTGCCAGCAAGCTATCTTTTTCTTCCTGCTCTGCAGTATTTATATTGCCCTAAAGAAAGAGGAAAGTTCTTAGGTGACAGGCTCCATGTCCCTTCTCCTTCTCTGCATTGATTTCTCTGACTCTGTGTGCTTCTGTTATCATGCTGACCCAGGAACTATAAAAGTTTACTATATAAATCTGTAAATTAGCACAGTTGAATATTAATTGTACACACCATTAAAATATTTAATTCTTATTTTTCTTCAAATTCAGAACTTGATAGGGGGCTCTAGCCAATTACTGTAATTTTCCAACCATCATAATTTTGTGGAAACATATAGTGAAAAGACTAAATGCTTTGGAATCGGGCAAACCAAATTTCAAACCTATGTTACATTAACTTCGTGACCTACTTTCCCATTTGTAGAGTAGGGGTAGATATACTTGCCTCATGAGGTTGTTATAGAGTTTAAATAAGATAATGTATGCAGAGTTCCCAGTTCAATGCAGCACCTGATTAGTACTCAGTATGGGTTAATTTTCCCCAAAGAAATGATTGGGGGTAATTTATTTATACTGTTTGAAAAATAAAAATTAAAGGTAATACATTCAAGACTCTTTTGTGTTTGTTTGGGCTTTGGGGGCAGTAACCAGTTTTTTTTTCTTTTGTATAGCATACCCTGCTCCTCTAACAAGTATCAGAGGCCGAAAACCTCTTTTTGGAGAGATAGGACACACTATAATGAACTTACTTGTTGTGAGTAATTGAACTATTTTATTAAGTGTTCTTATATTGTTACTTTAAAAATGTGTTTAGTAAATTTTACACACTTATGTTTTCCTATTTTAATTTGGCATACTTGGTATAATGAAAGTTTACTTATAAATATATCCTAGTTCATTTAACGCAAATGGGTTGTTTCTAATGAATTGCTTTTTAGAGCACATCTAATTTATATGTACCTGATTTATATTGCCTTTCAATTCATCCTGCTGGGGTGCTTACATATTTAGGTAATGTGAGATCTACACAGATGTTGAAGCTTTTGAAGATGTAGTTAAAGTGTTTGTAAAGTTAGTAAGCTTGGTGAGTGTGAACAAAGTGTGGCCTAAGTTTTCTCATTTGCTTTAGGAAGGATTGGAATAGGCCATGTTTCAGGTTCCTTCCCACCTCAGATTTCTAGAATTTTGTATTTACCTGTTACCAGAAAAAAGTATTTCAGTGGACTTACTTTGATTTATAATATTCAGTTTGAAGATCTATTTGAAAGATCTTTAAATAGAAAGAGGAGATCACCCCCAAATACTATAGAATTCTTCCTGGGAATGATATTGTTTTACTACTCTGTGGAGTAGCTGGATTAGTTGGTTTTATAAGTTAGTACTAGTTCGTAGGTGGCATTTTCAGTTATGTATCACAAGTCTTAAAATGATGGATACTTTTTAATGGATTTGATGAATGGGTAAATGTGCATAAATAGTAGTTTAAGGTTTATGGAAATGTCATAATTTTATATAGGACCTTCGAAATTACCAGTATACCTTGCATAATATAGATCAGCTATTGATTCATATGGAAATGGGGAAGAGCTGCATAAAAATACCTCGGAAAAAATACAATGATGTAAGTATAATTGCTTCATTAAAATTTTGAAGATAATTATTGAACATTAGATTTCCTTAGAAATGTGTCAATTAAATTTGATGTTTTGAAGCAGACTAATATATAATGGCAAAATATATTATTTTTGAAGTTTTAGATTTGCTTCCTAACAAGGCATTTGTTTAATTCTATTCTTCTTTTTTTTTCTTTTTTCTTTTTTTTACTGTTTTATGCATTAAGGTGATTTTATCTTAATACCTTTGTTTCTATCACATTCTTGGGGTTTTTCCAGACCAAAGTTTGAGGTTTATGAAGCTGGTCAGAAATGTGACTCTTTAAATTAGTGTAACTGATAAAGGGATGAAATGGTAAAAGTGTTTCTAAATGAATGTTGTTTTTTCCCCTAGGTAATGAAAGTAATAAATTCTTCTAATGAGCATGTCATTAGCATTGGAGCTAGTTTTAGTACAGAAGCAGATTCTCATCTAGTCTGTGTACAGAATGATGGAGTTTATCAAACACAGGCCAATAGTGCCACTGGCCACCCTAGAAAAGGTGAGTGTTGGTTCCTAGTGTTGATCCATTAAACTGCCTCAATAAATAGAATTCTTTTCAAAGGGAAAATATATATATTTTACGTGTATGCTAAATTGACAGTGATAAAACATGCTTTAAAATTTTATCTACACAGCCCTGACTGGTTTGGCTCAGTGGACAGAGTGTCGGCCTGCAGACTGAAGGGTCCCGGGTTCGATTCCGGTCGGGGGCATGTACCTTGGTTGCGGGCACATACCCAGTGGGGAGTGTGCAGGAGGCAGCTGATCTATGTTTCTCTCTCATCGATGTTCTACTCCTCTATCCCTCTCCCTTCCTCTCTGTAAAAATCAATAAAATATATATTTTTTAAAAATTTTATCTACACAAATATAAATATATATATGTGTGTGTGTGTGTGTGTGTGTGTGTGTGTGTGTGTGTATATTATATATATATATATATATATATATATATATATATAATATATATATATTTCAGAGAGAAAGGGAGCGGGAGAGAGAGAAACATCAGTGATGAGAGGGAATCATTGATCAGCTGCCTTCTGCACGCCCCCTGCTGGGGATTGAGCCTGCATGTGCTCTGAGTGGGAATTGAACCATGACCTCCTGGTTCATAGGCTGATGCTCAACAATTGAGCCACACCTACGAGGAAACACACAGAAATATTTTAAAATTGCTTTTGATTTGTGTTTTTCTCTTAGGCTACATTAGGTTTAAAGACTTGGAACACTACAGATATTCAGGCTTAATATGTCCCTTATGGTGGGAGTCTTTTTTTCCCCCCCAGTTATTTGTCTCTTGAATGAGGTTTTTTTCACCTTTACATGCTTTTTGCCCCAACTCTCTTAATTAAGGGAGCACAGGACAGATAAGAATGTAGAATAATTTATAAAACTATAAGTGGCTGGGAATATAAAAATGATAAAGGTGGTAGGGTACATAGCAGGTCTGAGTGACATGACTCTCAGTTCTGGTTGAATGACCTTAGTGACTGCTGGATTACCAAACTCGTGCAGTAGAGGGCCTAACCAATGGAAAGTTATGTGGAAGTATGCATTCCATAAAATTAATACATTAGTATAAAATAACAAATTTTAAAATATTCTAACATCTGTCAGCTAATACAGTTTTTTCTTCTGATTATAAAAGTAATTTATACTCATTTGTAATAAGCTTGGAAAATATATTTTTAAAAGTAGCAAAAGAAAAAAGAAGAAAAAAGTAGTAAAAGAAAAAAGTGCCAATATATAGCCATTGTTGATATTTTTACTGTATTTCCTTTTTATATTAGTATCTGTGTTAAATAGATGATATAATACTGGATATTTATACTTTTGCATTGTGTTTTTTTCACTTAACATGTCAGTGATATTTTTGACATTAAAATTTAACAACTATTTAATATTTGTTGAATAGGTATATATTTATGTGGTATAAGTTTGAAAGATATAAATATTTATAGTATAAAGTCTCTTCTTCCTTGACCCTCAGGCTACCCTCTCCTCCTCCCCATAGGCAACCAAACCAGTATTTTCAGTTTCAGTATGTACATCTTTTCTGAGACATTTTTTAAATAAGTCATTTGTTTCAGACTACACCTTGCTTTTTCTTTTGTTACCATACTTTGGATATTATTCTATATTAGTATATAAAGAATTTTCACATTCTACATAACTTTCCACTTTATATGTGTACTTCATTTAATTGTCCTTTATATTGGTGGAGATAACTTTTACCAGTCCTTGGCTATTTATAAAATAATAGAGGCCCAGTGCACGAAACTCATGCACTCTAGAGGGGTCCCTCAGCCCTGTCTTTGCCCTCTTGCAGTTCAGGAGCCCTTGGGGGATGTCTGACTGCCGGTTTAGGCTTGCTCCATGTAGGTAGTGGGCCTAAGCCGGCAATTGGACATCCTTAGTGCTGCTGTGGAGGCGGGAGAGGCTCCCACCACCGCCGCTGCACTTGCCAGCTGTGAGCCTGGCTTCTGGTTGAGTGGCGCTCCCCCTGTGGGAGCACATTGACCACTAGGGGGCAACTCCTGGGTTGAGTGTCTGCCCCCTGGTGGTCAGTGCATGTCATAGTGACCGATAGTTCCGCCATTCAGTTGATTTGGATATTAGCCTTTCATTATATAGGACTAGAGGCCCAGTGCACAAAATTTGTGCAGGGGGGGGGGGGGGTCCCTTCAGCCCAGCCTGCACCCTCTCCAATCTGGGATCCCTTGGGGGATGTCCTCAGGATTGGGCCTAAACCGGCAGTCGGACATCCCTGTCACAATCTGGGATCGCTGGCTCCTAACTGCTCACCTGCCTGCTTGACTGACTGCCCTTACTGGCCCCCCCTGTCAGCCTGATCACCCCTAACCGCCTCTGCCTGCCAACCTGGTCACCCCCAACTGCCACCCCCTGCCAACCTGGTCGCCCCCAACTGCCCCCCCGCCAGCCTGGTCGCCCCTAAACTGCCCCCCCCTGCCAGCATGGTCGCCCCTTATTGCCCCCTCTGCTGGCCTGGTTGCCCCATCTGCCCCCGCCGGCCTGGTCGCCCCTCACTGCCCCCCCTGCTGGCCTGGTCGCCCCACACAGCCTGCTGTTTGGTCATTTGGTTGCCCCTCACTGCCCCCCCTGCCTGCCTGGTCGCCCCACACAGCCTGCTGTTTGGTCATTTGGTCGCCCCTCACTGCCCCCCATGCCAGCCTGGTCGCCCCACACAGCCTGTTATTCAGTTGTTTGGTCATCCCTCACTAACCCCCCTGTTGGCCTGGTCACCCCACGCAGCCTGCTTGTTCAGTCATTTGGTCGTCCCTCACTAACCCTCTGCTGGCCTTGTCACCCCACTCAGCCTGTTCGGTCATCCGTTTGGTTGCGATGGCCCTGGGCTCTTTATTTATATAGATACTGTGAATAACATTGTATCCGTACCATTAATTTCTGAAAATGGAATTGGTGCATAAGGAATACATTTATTTGTAATTTTAGTAGATAATTATCAAGTTGTCCACCCAGAGATTGTTGATTTATGCCAGTGGTTCCCAAACTTATTTGGCTTACTGCCCCCTTTCCAGAAAAAATATTACTCAGCGCCCCCTGGAAATTAATTTTTTTTAAATTTTAATAGCAATTAAACAGAAAGATATATGTATTAATGTTTCTACCTTTTTCGTAAAATATAGTAAAGAAAGGTGTAAATTAGAAACATTGAAGTTTGAAATTATGAAACTATTTATTGAACTCAGAATAGAAAGGTAATACAAAAAAAGTTAAAAAAAATGGAATTGGTGCATAAGGAATACATTTATTTGTAATTTTAGTAGATAATTATCAAGTTGTCCACCCAGAGATTACTGATTTATGCTCTCACCAGTAGTGGATGTTCAATTTCTCACACTCTCCCTGACACAGACACAAACATTTTATTATTTTAATATATTTTTTAAATTGATTTCAGAGAGGAAAGGAGAGGGAGAGAGAGATAGAAACATCACTGATGAGAGAGAATCATTGATCAGCTGCCCCTTGCATGCCCCCTACTGGGGATCAAGCCTGCAACCTGGGCATGTGCCCTGACTGGGAATTGAACCGGGACCCTCCAGTCTACAGGCCAATGCTCTATGTCCTGAGCCAAACTTGCTAGGGCAACATAAACATTTTAATTAATACAACTGTCCATCAATTATTAGATACAACCATTAACTTGTATGCAATATTTATCTTATTTATTAGCTTTCTAATTTAAGTGGTGTGGGCATGGCATTTATCAGGTACTTAAAATGTGCCATGCTGCACATTATATATTTAACAAATATATTATAACATAAAATAGAGCAGGTTAAAACATAATTGTTGTATTTTTTTTATCAGTGACAGGTGCAAGTTTTGTAGTTTTCAATGGAGCTCTAAAATCATCTTCAGGATTTCTTGCTAAGTCCAGCATAGTTGAAGGTAGGAGTTTCATCTTTAAGATTGTTTTAATGTAAAAATGTAAAGTTTTCTTTTTGAAACTATATTTGATATTTATATAAAAGGATATATGTAAGTTATATCATATTCTCCAAAGTACCACAAGCTTCTGTGAAATCATTCTGCAGCCCAAAAATTAGAACGTGATCAATATTTGGATCTATTTACACCTTCTTCCTTCTCTCTCCAAAAATTAACTACCAGACTGAATACTGTTTATCATCCTCTTGCTTAATTTTTTTACACTGTATAAAAATATGCCTAAATAATGTTTATTTGGGAGATTTATAAAATTGATATCATTCTTCACACAGTCTTATGGAGCTTATTATTTTCATGCAATGTTATGTCTCTAAAATTTATCCATGTTGTTGCCAGCAACTATGGCTTACTTATTTTCAGTGTTATTAAATATTTTATTTTGTGAATGTGTGACAATTTATCTTTCAATCATGAACATCTGGGTTGGTTCTCTGTTTTTGCTATTATGAACAATGGTGCTAGTAGCATGCTTGGTGTGTGTCGACATTGGGCACGTGTCTAAGAGTTTCTCTGGAGTATATCTCCAGGAGTAGAATTTCTTGGCTGATAGATTAGAAAATGTTTAACTTTACAAGATATTGCTAAATTATTTTCATTATTTAAGATTTCCTGTTGATCTTCATATTCTCCAAACTTAGTTTTATCAGACTACTTAATTTGTGTCAATCTGGTAGGTATCTCTGAACATGGTCATAATTAGCATATCCCTATTAAGTAGAGCATCTTACAACATATTTATTGGACATATATGTTGTCTCTTTTGTGCAAAGCCGGTTCACATCTTTTGCCCATTTTTCTGTTGTCTTGTAAATTTTTCTGATTTATAGTTGCATAGTTTTTTTATATACTGTAGATTTCCTACACCATTTTATAGTGTATTTTTAATAGAAAGTCTTCTTTTAAATACAATGTAATTTATTAATCTTTTATGGTTAATGTTTTTTATTTAAGAAATCTTTCCATCCTGGGTTAAAAAGATGTTCTCCTGTTTTGTCCCAAAAGATTTAAAGCTCTGCCTTTAATATGCATGTATCAGATAGGGATCCATTGACATTTTTTTGCATTTGAATAGGATTTGATCCAGCATCAGTGATTCAGTTCTCCCAATGAGAGAGGTTTTTTACTCACACCAAATGTGTGGATTTTCCCCCTCACATCAGTTAATTTTCTAGTTCTCTGACACCAACTGGGTGTCCAACAATTTAGTTCTGACATTAACCACCCAGAGTTAGCACAGACCCCGTAGGTTAAGGGCTCAGTCCCACGAGACTGCCCCTCACTTCAGATACCAATTAGAAGTCTAGGGCCTCTTATACTTCTAACTGGCTGTAAATCAGAGGATCCCACTACCTCTTCCTCAGGTTGGTTCAAACATTTGCTAGAATAGCTTACAGAACTCAGAAAACACTTCATTTATGTTTACTGGTTTATAATAGAGCATTTATAAAGGATATGACTTAAGAACAACCAAATGGAAGATAAGCACAGGGCTAAGTATGGGGAAGGGGTCATGGAGATTCCATGCCCTCTCCAGGCGTACCACCACCCTTCCTTCACATCACCCTTCTAACACCTCATGTGTTCCCCAACACAGAAGCTCCTTGAACCTGGATATTTGTGGATTTTTGTAGAAGTCTCATTATGTAGGCATGCTTGATTAAATAAACGGCCATTGCTGATTGAACTCAACCTCTAGCACTCTTCCCAGTTCTAGTCCAATGATGCAAAGTGACCCTTACACAAAGTCTTTTGGTGCCCCTTCTTCTTTGTCTTGACCTCAGATTCAAGGACTTTCCAGTCTGTTATTTCTGGCTTCTTAAGCCAGTAGGGCCATTGCAGCTTAATGGATCACCAGACACTGTCCCAAGACTTTGCCTGGGCAACTGTGGGCTCCCTTGTTGAATTTTCCTATAGGGATCACGGTATTGCATTTCCTACTGTCTACGACTGAAACAGTTGCCTCATACATTTTGTCTAGTTTTATGGTTGGTTATTATGAAAGAGCTAGTTTGGTATCATAGCCAGAAATGGAAAATTTTTAACCATTCATTTAAAAAAATTTATTTACCATTAAAAAATTAATCCTTTGTGAAATAGTTTTCTTATTTCCTAATAGAAAACAACCATTAAAATGATTTAACAGATGATTTTTAAATATTTTCAAATAACAAAATACATTTGTATTTTGGAATAAATTTTATGGCTTAGACATATAAATTGATATTTAGTAAAATAAATATGAAACATAACTCCCATTTTCAGATGGCTTAATGGTGCAAATAACTCCAGAGACCATGGATGGCTTGCGGTTAGCTCTGCGAGAACAAAAAGACTTTAAGATCACATGTGGGAAAGTTGATGCTGTAGACCTGAGAGAATTTGTGGACATCTGCTGGGTAGATCCTGAAGAAAAAGGAAACAAAGGGTAAGAACTTTTTGTTACTAAAATGTAATTGATTTGATGGAAAGGGGAAGGATAAAAACATCTTGTTAATAAAAAGAAATCTTTTATGAATAAACATAGAATTATACCATGAATTTCAGTGCTTATACTTCAATTAATATATTCAGTCTCTTTTTCAAACATATGCCTAACCAGCCTCGTGTGTTTTCTTGGCCAGGATGCTGTCAATTATTGAAGGGTGGTCAATTGGGAGGGGGCCAATGACAATATGTCCATTGTGTAGCAGTGTGGGCTTGATGCAAGACACTTTTTCTGTGGTAGGGTACCTATTTTTGTCAAGTAAGTAAAGGATTCCCTTTGGATGTTTATTCTGTTTTATACTGACTCACTGTAAATACAAACAACTGAATTTAATAATATATACTTTAAAGGCCTTACAGAATATTACTGCCATTCATTCCTTCCTTTTTTCAATTACCCATTTTGTTTCTTTTCCCTCCCTCCCTCCCTCCCACTCACTGTAAATACAAACAACTGAATTTAATAATATATACTTTAAAGGCCTTACAGAATATTACTGCCATTCATTCCTTCCTTTTTTCAATTACCCATTTTGTTTCTTTTCCCTCCCTCCCTCCCTCCCTCCCTCCCTTTCCTTCCTTCCTTCCTTCCTTCCTTCCTTCCTTCCTTCCTTCCTTCCTTCCTTCCTTCCTTCCTTCCTTCCTTCCTGGTGAATGGCTAAGGGGTCTGGAGCAAAGAAAGAAGAGGGCTAATGCTGTAGGACTCTAAAATAGATTTTTTTTAAAAATTCATGAGACAGCTTTTCTGTTAAAAGACTAAGATATTTTATTTTATTTTTAAATATATTTTATTGATTTTTTACAGAGAGGAAGGGAGAGGGATAGAGAGCTAGAAACATTGATGAGAGAGAAACATCAATCAGTTGCCTCCTGCACACCCACCACTGGGGATGTGCCCGCAACCAAGGTACATGCCCTTGACCGGAATCGAACCTGGGACCCTTCAGTCCGCAGGCCGACGCTCTATCCACTGAGCCAAACCGGTTAGGGCAAGACTAAGATATTTTAAACCTCAGGTATGAATTGGGCATATGAAAAAGTAGGTAAAATTTGCTACACATCAAGAAATCTTGGTAAATGAATATAAACTAATTTTAATTATTTTATATGTAATTGAGATACCTTACTGCTGTTTTAAATTTATAGCTTTCATAATTTTTCTCCTTATTCCATTTATTCAAATTTAATAATTCATTTCATAAGAAGCACCTTAGTAGTAATACTTCTTTTGTATTTCATTTTATTCTATAGTGTTATTAGTTCCGTGGATGGAATATCGTTACAAGGATTTCCAAGTGAAAAAATAAAACTGGAAGCAGATTTTGAAACTGATGAGAAGATTGTAAAGTGTACTGAGGTAACTGCAAAAGAAAATGCCTTCCCTTTACATGCTGTGTTTAGATATGGTTTTTGTTTTTTTTAACTGGGAGATTTTCCACTTCTCAGCTTCTGAATGTTTAAGTACAGTGTATTACACTTTTTACATTATATCTTGAGACACATATTTCTTACCAGACTTCCTTTTATAACGCCAAATTTGGTTTTCCGTAGTATTATTTATTTCAGGCTATTATATGACAGCACTGCCTGCCAGCTCACAGTTAAATTTTGGCAGCATTTCCATTTCTGTTTATAAAGAAATATATTGTTTGATCATATTATTTTCATTTTTCTCTTATTTAACAAAAATTAAAAGATTTTGTTGACATCAATTTATAACCACATATACAAGTTATTTTTAAAAGTTTCTTTTATTTTAAGAAGGGGATATGAAATTATACAGTAGGCCTCTAAACCCTTAGTCTACCTCCATACTCACCCTCTCTCTACCTCCCAGGTCAGACAATCAGTGTTACTTACTGCGTATGTATTCTTTGTGAATTTTATGCATGCACAAGATAGAAACTATAGAGAATATAGAAATTATAGAACATTATTACTTTGTTCTATCTTAACTTTATTAAAATGTCCTTACAGGATGGTAATCTTACAGGGTTGATTCATTAGTACCCTTCTCTAAACTGAGTTAACAAGGTTCCGTTGCTACAGGTTAACTTTAGGCAAAAATAGCTAAGTCATTTCCAAATCCCATAACCTTTGGTTTTAAGTTAACTTATAGTATAGATCATGGTTTGTTTGTGTGTGTAGATCATGGTGTGTATGTCCATGTGTAATGTTCATATATATATTGCTCTTAAGCTAATGAATTTCATGGCACTAGCATTAGAATTTTATTAATAAAGTTGAAATGAAAGTAGCAATTGTTGCATTTTTAAATCATGACTTGTTTCCTAATTTCAGGTGTTCTACTTTCTAAAGGACCAGGATGTATCTATTTCAGCAACTCGTTATCAGTTTGCAAAAGAAATAGCCATGGCTTGTAGTGCTGCACTGTGCCCTCACCTGAAAACTTTAAAGAGTAATGGGATGAATAAAATTGGCCTCAGAGTTTCCATTGACACTGATATGGTGAGGCATGTTTTTGCAATGTATTTTCTAAATGAATTTATTATATATTAATCAAAAGGTGTTTCTTTAACCTTTTATTTTGGGATGAATGAAGACAATGAAAATTTGTTGAACATCAGTTTGTGCACACACTTCGTGTTCATTATCTCCTTTATTCTCCACAATGGGTCAGCAAACTTTTTTTGTAAAAGGCTACACAGTAAATATTTTTGGCATTGCGGGCTGAATGATTTCTTTCAGAACTACTCAGTTCTTCTATTATAGTGCAGAAGCAGCCATAGATAGTATGTGAACTAATAGGCTCGGCTTTGTTCCAGTGAAACTTTGTTATAAAAAACAGTGGGCCGATTGGCTCTCAGGCCATAGTTTGCTGACCCCCTACTCCACAACAATCCATCCTGTTTTTCAGTTTATTATTCTGAATAGATTCTATATTCATACGATTTAAATTTACTCTAAAAGTGTATACATAACAGTACAACTTCATTGGACATTTCCAGAAAACAGCATTCTGATTGTAGTCTATGTAATTGGCGCCTTAACTCCTGGCTACAATGTAAATGATGCCCAGTAGAGTTGTGTAAGGTAATAGACTTGGAAAGATCTCCTTCCATCCTCATCTCCAAACCCTTTTGTCCACCTCAATACTCCCTTATTCTTCCTGGTGAGGCAATCAAATGATACCCATTTTTATGTATTATTTGTGATTTTATGCACGTACCAGCAAATAAGTGTGTGTCCTTTTCATTTCCCCCTTTACACTGTATTTTTTTAACCTTGCTTCTTTAACTTACTATACCTTAGAGATATTACACGTTACCACATATTCTTTTTAAGTTGCATAGTAGTAGTTTATTATATAAGTGTACTCTTATTTAACTAATTCTTATGCATTTTTATATGTACTGATTGATATTTAGATTATCCACAATATTTTGCCTTTGTGTAAGTGTGAGTATATCAGAAACATTCTTAGAAGTAGAATTGTCAATAGGTATTACCATACTGTCTAAAATAGAGGTTATACCAATTTATATTTTTACCATAATTTGTGAGAGCATTCTTTCCCCTCACATACTTATCAAAGCAGTATGTAATCAAACTTTTGAACTTTACCAATTTGATAGGCAAAAAATAGTACTCCAGTATTATTGTAATGCACATTTCTGTTTCCAACATCCAATATAATAAATTTCAAAGCAGTTTTTTCTTTAGAATGGTTTATCTAAATATGAATGAGTTCAAAAGCTGAAGATTTGCTTTTTTTCAGTCAGGATGTGTTGTACTCAGAGTTCTTATTGGAAAGAACTTATATTTTCATCTCACTGTTAAAAGTTCCTTTTTCAAGGAAATATCTGATATTTGTGTGTTATTTGAGTAAGCACTGTTAATATTTCTTTAGGCAAATTAAAATGTAATTTTCATGAGCAACATTAAATTCAAATATTAAATATGCAACAACAAATTAAAAATATTTTAAAGTAGATTATTTTTATTAATACCATGGGGTTTGTATTTAAGTTATGTTGTTTATCATTCAAAATCTAGCCCTTCAGTGTGTTTACATGTTCATTGAGAAGAAACTTAAAGTATGAATTAGTGGCAATTTTTTTTTATTTTAATGATATATGTGGGAGGAACAATTACAATTTATGTAGTAGATGGATAAAAATATAGGAGAATATTTTATGAATAAAATGTCAATTATTTTCTTAACATGCTTAAACTGGATGATATTTTTAATTTAATTATTTTTACATTCATCTGCTGAGCTAAACAAGATTGCTCACTTTCTAGGGTTGACTTACCAAGATTTTTTTTTTTTTTCCAGGTTGAATTTCAGGCAGGATCTGAAGGCCGACTTCTTCCTCAGCATTATCTAAATGATCTTGATAGTGCTCTAATACCTGTGATCCATGGTGGAACATCCAACTCTACTAGTTTACCATTAGAAATAGAATTAGTATTTTTCATTATAGAAAATCTTTTTTAGTGAAAAGATATTAGTGAATCATGTTATTTATATTGCAAACTGATTTGTTAAAACTAACTCCAGCACTAAACCTAAAATGCCACAAACACTAAAAGTAAATATGTTTAATGTTTGAAACACATAGAAGTTTTGCTTTATAGGCCGGAATGATCTTTTTAAAATCATTAGCACAATTTCAATCTCTAAAAACTTAATGCGATCCAGTTTTTGAAGATTTACACTTAAAAAATACTAAAAAGACAAGGATAACTTCTTTCTTCAAGAAATTTGTAGCATTTATTGTGTTATTTAAATGCTATGCCAAAGTATCTGCATTTAGTAATACCTCTTTATGCCAAGATCGATTTTAATGAAGGCTCTTTTTCAGATGTAACCTTATAAAGGGAAATATCTGTTTTCTGTATATGCCAGTTAGATTGCTGTTTTCTAAAGTCTGTTAAAAATATACTTCAATAGCACAGACCAGTTTCCATATTAGACTTAATATGATGTTCTTTGAATAAGGCAGACAACTTATTTGTATAATTGGAGTGGAGACCTACCTCCGTGACTAGATAAACTCTGATTGTTTGGATTAAAATCAGAATTTTCCTTTTTTCTCCTCAAATTATTCCATATATGGTTTTCTCTTGATTAAATGGGTATTCTTAAAATAACTGTGGGTGCTTCAGGATTCTGTGCTTCTGTAATTTAAGTATATTGTTTTTATAGCGAGAACATGTGATTTGGTATGTGTTTTATAACTCTTTAATAATTTATAAATAGGCAATATTTTTGTATTGCAGTATATTATTTTTCCTCCTTTCTTTCCAAATGTACCACTGTATTTGCCACTTATATAAAAAGTGATTGACGACAGGCCAGATGACCCTTGAAATAGTTATTATGTAGCAATAAATGAAGCATGAAACAGATTTTTATTACTTTGCCTTTAAACCTTACAAGTTTCTTGGCAAGTTCACATGTTTTCATTGACACTAATGTATTTATTATAAACTTTAATGAACTAATTACTTTTGCATATTTTAAATTCTTTATATGGTAGTTATTTTTTATAACAGAATATTAACATAAGTTAAATTCTATGTATTTAAAACTATTACAGAACTTTCCTCTTTACTTCAAACAGCAAAATAAGAAATGTTGTGTTGAAAAAAGAGTAATGAGTGTATTGTTAGTTAGTCCTGTCATTTAAGTTATATAAAATATAATCATATTTTGATGCTTTTTTTATTCTTAAGTGGAATATATATGTTTTTGTATAAAAGACTTGTATATCTCAAGAAAAAGAAATTATACTAAAGAGCCCTGTTTTAAGAAAAATATTTAGGAAGTATCTTAACTTGAAGACCAAAAAACGGTTAAACTCAGGAACTGAGGTCTTAGGTTAGGAGAGGCTAAGAATTTTAATCAGATTGGTCATATGGTTCCTACTAAATCACATCTGTAGTACTAGCCAAAGACAGTATGGAGGAGAATATCAGTCATATGGGAGTAGCTACTTCAAAAACAGTGTGAAATGTTGCAAATATTAAATAAAATAACACATAACTTGTGAAATTAATTGCAATAGTATAAGTTAAAAGCAATCACATATCAAACTCAATTTATGTTTTCTTTATATAGTGTGTTTATTTTGCAATATAGATTATTGCACAATCTATAAATACTGAATTTAAAATAACCAAATGGTGGAGGGCTCTTCCATCATGGGATAGCTTTGGATTTGTTTTTTTTAAAAATCTACATTTCATAAAAATTGGAATTATGTGCCTTTGGAGGCACCTTTTAAAGTATTCTTTTTTTTTTTAAATATATTTTATTGATTTTTTACAGAAAGGAGGGGAGAGGGATAGAGAGTTAGAAACATCGATCAGCTGCCTCTTGCACGCCCCTACTGGGGATGTGCCCGCAACCAAGGTACATGCCCTTGACCGGAATCAAACCTGGGACCCTTGAGTCCGCAGGCTGACCCTCTATCTGCTGAGCCAAACTGGTTAGGGCTTAAAGTATTCTTTATAGTCCTAGCCGGTTTGCCTCAGTGGATAGAGCGTCAGCCTGTGAACCAAGGGTCCCGGGTTAGATTCTGGTCAAGGGCACGTACCTTGGTTGCAAGCTCTCCCCGGCCTGGGCCCTGGTCAGGACTCCTGCAGAAGGTAACCAATCGATGTGTTTCTCTCACATCGATGTTTCTGTCTTTCCCTCTACCTTCCACTCTCTCTAAAAATCAATGGAAAAATATCATCAGGTGAGGATAAAAATAAATAAAGTATTCTTTGTAGAGTATGTCTCTGAATGCATTTGTTGCTTATTTTGGTCATGTTCTTCATATTTTTAAAGGTGGAAAAATAGAAATGGTTCTTTGTACTCTGTCTGCAATGATCTGTTTTTGGTCTTATGCCCTTTACTAGTAATACTACTCTCTCTGAATTTTGAAATGTGAAATAAAATCTAGCTGTTTTATGCAGCCATCGAACAAACTTTGAGTATATATACTTGCTATCTGCAGAGCACTTTATTAGCCTTCACTGGTTGAAAGATGAATAAATAGTTCTTTCCCTCTTGGAGTTGAATGTGTGAAGCAGATCATTGACAAAGTTAAAGTAATTGTTATAATAGAAATATAGATCTAATCTAGGTGGTTGGAAAACAACCCAGGAGGATAACTATACCAATAATGAGAAGGCAACCTGAGAACCTGTTAGATGGTGGGCACTAAACTTGTCTAGCCAAGAATTGAAAATCTAAAAAGTAATATGTAAAAAGACCAAACTTTCCCTCATAAGGCAATTTACTTTAAAGAGTCTTTTGTGCTCTAGCTGGTTTGGCTCAGTGGATAGAGCATCAGCCTGTGGACCTAAGGGTCACGGGTTTAATTCCAGTCAAGGGCATGTACCTTGGTTGCAGGGTCCTCCCTGGCCCTGGAACCCTGGTCAGGGCTCCTGCAGGAGGTAACCAATTGATGGGTTTCTCTCACATCAATATTTCTCTGACTTTCCCTCTCTCTTCCACTCTCTAAAAAAAAAAGTCACCAAAACCGGTTTGGCTCTGGATAGAGCGTCGGCCTGGGGACTGAGAGGTCCCGGGTTCGATTCCAGTCAGGGGCATGTACCTTGGTTTCGGGCACATCCCCAGTGAGAGATGTGCAGGAGGCAGCTGATCGATGTTTCTCTCTCATCGATGTTTCTAACTATCTCTCTCCCTTACTCTCTGTAAAAAATCAATAAAATATATTTTTAAAAAAAAAGTCAATGGAAAAATATCCTTGGGTAAGGATTAAAATAAATAGTCTTTTGTGTTGTGTGAATGTCTTACCTTATAATTTAATTATTATAAAAGTAGTAGCCTGATATGGTATCTCAAATGCCCAAGTTTATAACAGCTTCGATTTAGATACTGTTTCATAAGTAAGTAACAGAGCTTTTTTTTTTTAACAGCAAGCATAACTTGACTCATTTTTAAGTAATATATCTTGAAATAAACCTCCAAACCATGCTAGGTTTTGATTTTTCTTTGTGATTAAAAAAATGTTCCATATATGTACATGATTCACATATCAGAAAAAACTTATCAATGTAAGTTTTGCCTGTCACCTTGTATGCACATACCTTGTTCTTCCCATTCTCCATACTCAACAGATAATCATTTTTATTAATTTCTTGTGTATCTTCCTAAGTTTGGGTACAGTAATAGCAAATACATACATATATTTTTTTCTCCATATATTTTTTAATCTTCACCGAGGTTATGTTTTTATTGATTTTAGAGAGTGAGGAAGGGGAGAGAGAGAGGTTACCTCCCGTATGCATCCCAGCCAGGGATAGAAACCACAACCTTTTTTATGTAAGGGATGATGCTCCAACCAACTGACCCAGCTGACCAGGGCTCCTTTTTTTATACAAATGTAGCATACTATTTACACTGAAGAACACAATTTCAATTATACTTCAATTACTTTGAATTATGTGGTTATGTTTAGAATCTTAAAAGACTGCATTGCTTCTTTTCCTCAGTAATTGATAAAAGCATCTTAGTGCAGAAAGGCAAGAAAATCCATTATTGAAATTATAACCATATGTTTCAGTGGGAGGGTTATTTTCTCTTAAAATTTTCATTACTAAAACACTTGCATGGTTATTTTTTATTTGATCTTTATTTAAAATCTTTGTTTTTTCTACCAGGCACTAAGCCTCACCATCTAAAGTTATCTTTTACCACTTAACACATTTATTTTTACATGACATTATTAGTAGCTTTAAATATTTACATTCTGTGTTTGGGATTTAGCTTGGAATGATACACAATTTAACATTTAACACCTTTTGGGAAATATTTTCTGCATTTGCATAGATAAAATTGAAACCATATTTTCATGCTTTTTACGAATGGAGAAACAGGTCTAATTCAAGTGCTTTATTATGAACCTCTGAATATGATAAAGGTTTTTTCTCTTTGGTAAAATAAGGTGCTTGAAAGCCTCCAAGATAACTCACAATGTTCCATGCATCCTGGTATTCACACCCTTGTGTAGTCCCCTCCCACACTGTACCAGTTGGTCTTTATGACCAATGGAATATGGTAGAAGGATGGGATGTCATTTCTACGATTATGTTATAAAAGACTGGTTTCCATCTTTGCTGCATTTCTCTCCACCCTCTTTCATCCTTTTCTCTCCCATCTCCTTCCCTCTCTGTCTCTCTTTCTCCCTCTCTATTGGATCACTCCTCTTGGGGAAGCCATTTGCCAGGTGTGGGCAGCCCCATGGAGAGGCCCACTTGGCGAGGAACTGAAGTCTGACAACAACCACATGAGTGGAAGTGGATCCTCCAACCCCAGTCAAGCCTTCAAATTTCAGCTCCAGCCAAAACTGCAACCTCATGGGAACCACTCAACTGAGCCACTCTCAGATTCTTGAATTTCAGCAACTGTGTAAAATAAACATTTGTTGTTTTAAAGTGATGTATTCTAGTGATTTATTTATATGCAACAACAAATATGAATTAACAGATGATACCTTTATCTTTAGCAGCTGTAAGTAAAACTGGCTAAAAATGATAAATTGCTCTGACAGCATATTATCAGCATTTATGGATTCCATGCCACAAGTAATGTGTGCTAAGGGCAGAGAACACTAAAAGAAAAAGTAGGATTTGGCCATGTACAAACAAAGATGCAATTATGGGAAACTTCCTGTTTCTGGAAATTACATGCTAGGATATTTAGATCATGCTCCTGCCAAAAACAACTAAAGCTGATTAAGATACAAAAAATCATCTTAAGCCCTGACCGGTTTGGCTAGGTGGATGGAGCGTCGGCCTGCGGACTGAAGGGTCCCAGGTTCGATTCCAGTCGGGGGCATGTGCTTTGGTTGCGGGCACATCCCCAGTAGGGGGTGTGCAGGAGGCGGCTGGTCGATGTTTCTCTCTCATCGATGTTTCTGACTCTCTATCCCTCTCCCTTCCTCTCTGTAAAAAATCAATAAAATGTATTTTAAAAAATCATCTTAAAACATGAAGGAGATTTTAAGGCAGCAAGTGATGTCCTGTCCAAAGGTAAAAAGAGACGTTAAGTGAACATGGGGCCCTACTGTGACAACCTTATGGAGTAAAGGGGACATAGCAAAGTTCAAGGCCTACACAAGGTGGTGAATCTAACAGAATTTTCCCAACAGAGGCTGAGACCTATCCCAAACGGTTTTAGTCTTTGGATGAGGATGAACCAGAAGTATAAATTATGTAAAAGTATAGCCAAGTTTAGAATTGCCCACATTGTACAAAGAATCTTAAGCATTTAACTTGCTTTAGGTGGTCCCACACTGGAGACGTCTCCTGGTGCTGTCACCATGGCAAAAATGTAAATCCTCTCCATAGAAAAGTAATTTCACTGTAGGCCTCAAATTACTTTTCAAATGTAACATCTAACAGTAAAAAATAAAAAGTAGGCACAAATGGAAACTAGTCTCCAGAGGCAAGAATTAGTAGAAACAATGAAAACAAACTCAGACAGACTTAGGCATTAGATTTATGCCTTCTGTGTTTAAAGAAATAATAAAAATTTAAAAATCAAGCATGCGGTACTTGAAGAGCAGGGGTGGGTTATGGAATTTGGAAATGACTTAGCTATTTTTGCCTAAAGTTAACCTATAGCTATAAGAGCCTTAACTCAGTTTAGAGAAGGGTACTAATGAATCTACCCTATAAGACATCATCGCATAAGGACATCTTAATGAAGTTAAGATTGAACAAAAAATGTTCCATAATTTGTATGACCTATATAGTTTCTATCTTGTGCATGCCTAAAAATCACAAAGAATACATATGCAGTAAGTAACACTGATTGCCTGATATGGGAGATAGAGTGAGGGTGAGTATGGAGGTAGACTAGGGGTTTAGGGGGTCTATAATTTCATATCCCTTTCTTAGAAAAGAAACATTTAAAAATAACTTGCATATGTGATTATAAATTATATCAAAATATTTTAATTTTTGTTAAATAAGAGAAAAATGAAAATAATATGGTCCAAGAACATATTTATATATAAAAAAGGCTTAGCAACTGTCCGACCAGGGGGCAGACACTCAATGCAGGAGCTGCCGAGCTGTGGTGACTTGGCAGTGGTGGTTCTCAGGTGATACACCCCGGAACCAGAAAGGAGGGAGCCCAATTCCGGGGTGCATCACCCAAGATCCGGGACCCCTTGGGGGATGTTGGAGAGCTGGTTTCAGCCCGATCCCCACAGGCCAGGCTGAGGGACCGCCCCCCACAACCTGCTGGAGCAACCCCGCTCACTCCACAGACACCCCTCAAGCAGGGGCACCGCCCCAGGTGCAGCCGGCCAGGGAGGATCACGGGAGGTTGGCTCCAGGGTGTGTCCGGCCCATCTCTCCAGTCCCACCCCACCGGCCACCTTCTAATTAATTTCATTTCAATGTCCACAAATCTGTGCACCAGGGGAACTAGTTTCTGAATAAACAAATATGGCAATGCTGCCAAAACTTCATTGTGAGCTGGCAGGCAGTGCCTGAAATAAATAATACTACGGAAAACCAAATTTGGCGTTATAAAAGGAAGTCTGGTAAGTAATATGTGTCAAGATATAATGTAAAAAGTGTAATACGCTGTTCTTAAACATTCGGAAGCTGAGTAGTGCAAAATCTCCCACTTAAAAAAAACAAAAACCACATCCAAACCCAGCATGTAAAGGGAAGGCATTTTCTTTGCAGTTGCCTCAGTACACTTCACAGTCTTCTCACCAGTTCCAAAACCTGCTTCCAGTTTTATTTTTTTTCACTTGGAAATCCTTGTAATGATATTCCATCCACGGAACTAGTAACACTATAGAATAAAACGTAATACAACAGAATTATTACTACTAAGGTGCTTCTTATGAAATGAATTATTAGATTTGAACAAATGGAATAAGAAAAATTAGGAAAGTTATAATTTACAATTGCTACATTTATTAAATTTCAAGTCCCACCTGCGGTTGCCTTGGCAGGGCCAGACCTAAAGATTTTGGGGCCTCACGCTCTGCCTCTGTCTTCCCAGCCCCCGCCTATCTGCAGAACTACCTACCTGTTTTCTGACTATTTTTCCCAAAAACACAATTCGCGCGACACTTGAACAGCCCAGCGGCCGCGGAGCCTGCGCACCAGCCGCAGCCTGTGCGCCTGCGCTTTCTCGCTACCCCCAGCCCTTCCACCTCCGCTTCCCAAGCTGCTCTCAGGCCGCGCTCGGAGACTGACGGCTCTTCCCTCGTTCGTGGAGTCGTGTTTCCACGCCACCTGCGAAGGGTCATCGCGGTGCCCACGGCTTAGCGCTTGCGGACCGCAGGCGTCTGTCACCATGGCAACGACCGCTGGGGGCCCTGGTAAGCGCCAGTCCCCACTCCGCAGAACGGGCTCCACATCCTGCACTTTCCTTGCCCTGTGCGTGGGAAGAGATGGGGGAATGGGACACTTTGAGAGACACCTCTGGCAGCACCCCTCCCTTTTTTGGATCCTGGCAATCCGCATTCTCAGCGCGCGTCCACAATCCATTGGCCTGGAACCTTGGTTCTGCGTGGGTGTTAAGAGGGGAAAAAAAAACATTCTGACGACAAAGAGTGGCAAGAATGTTGCGCCCTACTTCGTGTTTTTTAAGAGAAGTTTTAGGCTCATAGGAAAATTGAATGGGAGAAACAGATTCCCCATATCTCCCCTACCTGGATACATGCATAGCCTCCCCATTATCAACATTCCCCAGTGAGCAGTACAATTGTGAACCTGCACTGACACATCATAATCACCGAAAGTCCAGTTTACCAGGGTTCACTCTTGGTGCTGTACATTCTATGGGTTTAGACAAATGTATAATGATATGTATCCAATCCTGTGGTATCATACAAAATAGTTTCTCTGCTCCCAAATACTCTGTGATCCAACCCTTATCCCACCCCAATCCCTGGCAACCACTGATCTTTTTACTATCTCCACAGTTTTGTCTTTTCCAGAATGTCATATAGTTGGAATCATATATTATGTCACCTTTTCAGATTGGCTCCTTTCACTTAGTAATATGCTTTTAAGTTTCCTGCATGTCTTTTTCTTACTTGATAAGCTCATTTCTCTTTTAGCATCAAATAGTATTTCATTGTTTGGGTATGCCACAGTTTATCCATTCACCCTCTGAAGAGCAGCTTGGTTGCCTCCAAGTTTTGGCAATTATGAATAAAGCTGATGCAAACGTCCGTGTGCAGGTTTTTGGACGATAGTTTTCAGCTCCTTTGGGTAAATATCAGGGAGTACAACTGGATCATATGGTAAGAGTATATTTAGTTTTATAAGAAACTGCCAAACTATCTTGCAAAGTGTCTGCATTATTTTTCATCCCCACCAACAATGATTGAGAGCTCCTGTTGCTTCCCATCCTCACCAGCATTTGTTATATCAGTGTTCTGGACTTTGGCCATTCTAATAGGTGTGTAGTTGTGTTATCGGAGAAATGCATGGGTGGTTTTTTGTTGTTGTTTTTTTTGCTAGTGGGAGTGGGGTCCTTAGGATATCTCAAGAAAAAGAATTTTCTGAGACTCACATGGGAGGATGAGTGATCTTTATTTGTGTGGAATTACATCTCTGGGTTTGTAAAGTCCCATTTCCCTTAAACCAGTCCTGGAAGATGTGCATCTGGGGATTCAGTAGAGCTAAAAGCAATGCCAGCATCCAAAGTTTCCGTTCCATGATGGAATTGGGTCCAGTACAGTAATAGGCTAGTTACAGTTATTCAGTCCATTGTTTGGGGTCCACATGACTCTGGGCCATGTGGGCAAATGCAGGGGACCCAAGAGAGTGCACCCCCTGCAACAAGAGTCCCAAGAGATCAAGAAGCAAACTCCTTTTAGGAGCTTAAGTATCTCAAATCTTCAGGTGCTTGAAGCAGCCACGCCTACTATAGCTAATGACCTATTCCTAGGTGTGATTGACAGGCAAGTACCTTCCCTATTTCATCCAGACTCTACTGGGCTTTATTCTAAACTGCAGCTTCCTGGCAAAGCTGCACAGATGACACATTCATAATATTTGGCCTTCTTTTTGCTTCTTCCCAGTTATTATAACTAGGTTATATTACAACTAGAGGCCCAGTGCATGAAATTTGTGCACTGGTAAGGTGGCTGCTGGCCAGCTGGTACTCCCTCCCTTCCCCTGGCTGGCCCCACCCCCTGGGCAAACTCCCAGTCGAGGGGACAGTTTGCATACTACGCTTTTATTATATAGGATGGTATCAGTTGTACTTTGTTGTTTTGTGTTTCTCTTATGACACGTGATGTGGAACACCTTTTCATATGCTTGCCATCTGTTTATCTTCTTTGGTGAATTGTTTGTTGAGGTCTTAAAATTGGGTTGTTTTCTTATTGTTGAGTTTTAAGAGTTCTGTGTATATTTTGGATAACAGTCCTTTATCTGATGTGTCTTTTGCAAATATTTTCTCCCAGTCTGTGGTTTGTCTTATTCTCTTGATGTTGTCTTTCCCAGAACAGAAGTTTTTCATTTAATTAAGTCCACCTAATTCATTATTTCTTTCGTAGATGGTGCCTTTAGTGCATAACTGAAAAGTCATTGCCATACTCAAGGTCATCTAGGTTTTCTTTATATTATCTTTTAGGAGTTTTATAGTTTTACATTTTACATTTATGTCTATGGTCCATTTTGAGTTAATGTTTGTGAAAGGTATAAGGTCTTTGTCTAGATATCATTTTTTTGGTTGTGGATGTCCAGTTGTCCCAGAACCATTTGTTGAAAAGACTGTCTTTGCTTCATTGTATAGCCTTTGCTCCTTTGTCAAAGATCAGTTGACTATATTTATGGAGATCTATTTGGGAGCTCTTCATTCTGTTCCATTGATCTGTTTATTCTTTCACCAGTACCATTCTGTCTTATTACTTTAGCTTTATAGTAAGTTTTGATGTTAGGTAGTGTCATTACTTTGTTCTCCTTCAATATTTTGTTGGTTCTTCTGGGGTTTTTTGCCCTCCATATAAACTTTAGAATCTGCCCTAGCTTGTGTAGCTCAGTTGGTCGGTTGTCATCCCATGCATCAAGAGATTGCTTGTTCAATTTCTGCTCAGGGCACATGCTCAGGTTATGGACTCAATCACTGGTGGGGGCGTGCACAGGAGCTGATCGATGTTTCTCTTTCACATTGATGTTTCTCTCTTGCCTTCTCCCTTCCTTTCTCTCTGAAAATCATTAAGCTATTTTTTAAAATTTAGAATCAGTTTGTCAGTATCCATGAAATAACTTGATGGGATTTTGATTAGAATTGCTTGGATCTATAGGTCAAGTTGGGAAGAACTGACATCTTGACAATATAATCTTTTTATTTTTGAACATGGATAATTTCTCTATTTAGTTCTTTAATTTCATTCACCAGAGCTTTGCAGTTTTCCTCATATAGATTTTGTACATGTTTTGTTAGATTTATACCTGAGTATTTCAGTTTCTGAGGTGCTAATGTAAATGGTATTATTTTCCATTTCAAATTCCACTTGTTCATAAATAGAAATGCAGTTGACTTTTGTACATGAACCTTGTATACTTCAACCTTTTCAGTTTAAATTTTTTGACTGTAAACATAATGCATGCTCATTATAGAACATTTATAAACTATTTTGAAGTAGGAAAGGAATCTACCTAATGATAATACTCAGAGGCCCCCAGAGTAACTTTATGGCACATTTTTGAACAATTCTGACTTTTAAGAAAATATAGTTAAAATCATAGTATATTTGCCATCATCATATACTATATATCTCTTTTTAAAAGTTTCACTATTTAAAAAACATACAAACTAGTTTTTTAAAGCATTAGTTTTTAGTGGCTTAGAACAACACAGATTTGTTATTTTATAATTCTGACATGGGTCTCACTGAACTAAAATCAAAGTGTCAGCATGGCTACATTCCCTCTAGAGCAGCGGTTCTCAACCTGTGGGTCGCGACCCCTTTGGGGGTCGAATGACCCTTTCACAGGGGTCGCCTAAGACTATTGGAAAACACATATATAGTTACATATTGTTTTTGTGATTAATCACTATGCTTTAATTATGTTCAATTTGTATCAATGAAATTGGGGGTCACCACAACATGAACTGTATTAAAGGGTCGCAGCATTAGGAAGGTTGAGAACCACTGCTCTAGACTCTATGCTCCTGAACTTATGGTCAACTAACTATAGAGACCGCTTGAGTTCCTTGGTTTATGATTTCTTCCTCCATTTTCAAAGTCTGCAGTGGCTGGTTGAGTCTCTCATATTGCATCACTCTGACACCAACTCTCCTGCCTCCCTCTTTCACCTGTAAGGGTCTTGTGATTAAATTGAGCCCACCTGGATAATTTAGGCTATACCTCCATCTCAAAGTCAGCTGGATAGCATACTTAATTCCATCTGTAACCTTAATTCCTCCTTGCTATATAATATAGCATAGGAATTAGGACATAGAAGGCTTTTGGGTGTGTGTGTCGTTATTCTTCCTATTACAGTACCTATAGTCTCTACCTTGCTTTTTTTCACTTAACATAACTTTGAGATGACTCTGTATCTGTATATAGAGATTTGCCTCATTCTTTTTAATGGCTGCTTAATGTTCCATTGTCTGGATATACTATAATTTATTCAGTGTATTTACTGTTGGTGGATATTTAGGTTATTTTCCCCTTTTGTTTTTACAAACAGTGCTGCAATAAATATCTTTATACCAAATGTGTCATTTCCCACATGTAAGCACATCTGTTATGGAATAAATTTATGAAAATTTATAAAAGTGAAATTTCTGGGTCAAAGGATAGATGTATTTTTCTATTTAAAAATCTTTTTTCTGTTTTTCTTCTTATTGAGGTAATTTGCACACCTTACAGTTCATTCATTTTTAAAGCATGTCATTCATCCGTTTTTTAGTACTAGTATATTCAGAGTTGGTATATAATCATCACCACAATCAATTTAAAAACATCACCACAAAAAGATGTAAAAATAGGGGAAGGGACATACGTGAACTCACTGTATCTTTCACTCAATTTTTTTTTTTTGTAGAGCTACTAGTAAAACTGTTCCCCCAAAAGTCTTAATTCAAAAAATTGCAACTAATTTTGCCTTTCTCTTGGCCCTATCTTCAGAGTTATAGCCTACTTAAAATAGAATTAATGTCATAGATAATTTGAGTCATCTTAAAGTCTATAGATATATACAGTTGTGGGTATAAGGTAGCAATTTCATCCATTAACAGGGCAAGGAGAACTTTTTACTTACATTTTTTTTGGTTTCTGGAGTCATGGTATTTTATTATTAGTATATAGGTTATCCTTATAAAAAATTTGACTGCAGTGTGCTTAATAGTTGAATGGTACTGTGGACCAGTATATACCATTAACTAACATTTACTTTTTTTCTGGTAACATGCATAATTACCTTTTTTGTGAGGCTTCTAGTGCATCTCTAAAACGTCATTGTTGACATCCACATCAGTCACATATTTTATCTTGAGAATATACTATGATTAAATTATTTTTCCATTGTTGGACATGTCTGTTATAGCCTTCTAAAAATGCCTAACTTAAATATTTAAAATGCGATGGCCATGTATTTTCATCTAAAAGTCTCTGATTCTATTACAAATGCAAAATAGGGCCTAGTGTTTTGGGTAGGAAATTGCTTGGGGGATAGTGGATGCTGCAGCCTAATTCTCTCCTTTATTCTGTAGTCCCACATACAGAGTGGTTGCTGAGTCCCATGTATGTTATTTTGAAGTTATATGCTCCTCTTTTCTGTAATCAATTTTTACTTTTTCTTAATGTGGATCAGCAGTTTATGATGGCTGGCCATTTTTAGTTTTTTAACTGTTGTTAGGCAGAATTAATAAATAACAGAAGACAAAAGGCATCAACTTGCAGCCATTTGGCAGGCACTTAAATGTTTAAATAAATGAACAAGAATTAGGGAGGTAAGATTATAGATAACTGTTTTCATTGTTTTTCAGCTTTTTCTCATTGCTGTTGTAGGATATGGCATAATTTGGGATAGATCTGAATTCAAGTGTTTTGGTCTCAGTTAACTCATATTTTAATGTTTAATTAAAATAAACTCTGGTCTGCCAAAAAGTAATTACAGATATGGGGAATTATATATGTTTGTACATGCTAGATAAATCTGTGAATATTAACTCAGGTGTTTACTTAGTCATTCATATAAATGTTGCTGAGACTCATAATCTGAAGGTAAATATGCTTAACTGTGTAATTTAAGGTTCTAAATTGTTAATGTAAATATGGAATGGAGCTTCAGGTGGAGAAAACAATTAAATGTACAAAATTTAGAAGCTTTTAATACAGCTTTGGCTTAACATGTTTTACTTATTTAAGGGGCCTGGAATCCATGTGACATAGTGTGAAAATTCCTGCTTTAAAATATCTGTGTCTTACCTGTTTTTTTTTTTTCTTTCTACATACTTTTTCATGCTTCTGAGATTCAGACTATCCTATATGTTTACTAGTTATTACTTACATCATATGTAGCATGTTTATATATTTATATATATTAAATAACTGCCATATCGTACTTGTTCTCATTTTTTAAAATCTCATGTTTTTCTTCGTTGAATTACTTTATTCTCTCTGCTGTGCCCTTTTTTATTAAAATTATTTACCCCATATAAAACAATCTATTCTTTTTCATGGAAATGCTGTTATTTTAGGATCTTGGAGTGAAAATATACTGCAGTATTTTCTGAGAAATAACCAGATCACCACAGAAGATGGTGCCCAAATCACCTGGTATCATGCTGCTAACCATAAGGCACAAATGAATGAGGCACTGAAAAGTAAGTCAGTGCAGTTATTTATATTTACATTGGGTAATAGATGAATCCAACTCTTTAAAAAGTATCTGAGCATATTTGCAGGTACCAGAGACCTTTTATCTTTCTCAAAAGGTCTGGCATCTTCTGCAGTCCCTATTTTGTAAGTATTAACTTCTTTTATTTGGACAGGCACTGCCCACATGATAGAGGCTGATGTCCTCCTTCCAAGTGAGGGATCAGACCATGGCCAGCCGATCATGGCCCATCCTCCTGAAACAAGTAGTGATAATACTCTCCAGGAATGGCTGACTGAAGTCACGAAAAGCAATAAAGGCATCAAGCTGGATTTTAAGAGGTATTTGTACAAATATATTCAGTCTTCTGGTTGTTACAGAATAATTATTTTGTGGGGGGGAAGTTAATAGCCTCTCATATCTGTGCCTGACTAACTAACTTTGTACTTTTATCTAAGTTGAATTGGAATTGCAGACTGATACATTCTAGGAATGGATCTAACACCCACTGAGCTGTTTAAAGTTAATTTTTATAAAGGAATTTATTGTAAGTGACCATTATGATAATACAACAGTAAATTTACAATGCTACCTTTATTAAAAGGTAGTCCAGAAGAGAAGGAATTGAGAGAATTTTGTTGAGGTAGTTAATGCATATTTTACTTGATTTATGTTGTTACATTTGTGTATAGGGGATTATTTAGATTTCTTCAATAACTGAAATGTTCCTTTAAAAACAGTATTTTGGAGGCATTTATAATGAAGAGCAAGATTAAGTGTCATTTCATAGTAAGTTTTACTTTTCTGGTATTTTGGTAGTGTGAAAATTATAGGTAAAGCCAGAAATATATTGGGTCACCATAGAAGCTCACCATAAGCACTAAAGCAGCTTCTATGAAAATCTAGGATTTGTGGTAAGCCTACTTCATCTCTGAAAAATATTTTTGAATTGAATGATCTCAAGAAATTAATAAAGATTTGGAAATCTGCCTGGCTGGTGTTGCTCAGTGGTTGAGCATCAACCCATGAACCGGGAGGTCACAGTTTGATTCCTGGTCAGGGCACATGCCCAGGTTGTGGGTTTGATCCCCAGTAAGGGGTGTGCAGTAGGCAGCTGATTGATGATTCTCTCTCATCAGTGATGTTTCTATCCCTCTCTGCCTCTCCCTTCCTCCCTCTGGAGAAAAAAATATATATATTTGGAAATCTTATTCATAGAGTTATTAAGAGGACTCTAGTCATTGTTGTGGGGCTAAATATACCAGTAAACCTCCTTATACTGTTGGTGAATTCCAGAGCTATTTGCAGTAAATGGAAAAACTTTTAAGATGGTGAATGTTCCAATTCCATTTCATTGACAAAGAAATTTAGTCCCAGAGCGGTTAAGTGATTTACTCAAGGACAACAGCTGAGCTTGGCAGCTGAGCGAGGACCAGATTTCAGGTTTCCTGGAGCCAGTTCAATATGCCATGAAACAAAGTACTTGATCTTTAATGCCTGGTGACTCGAAGTTTTAGAGCTCCTTGCCTTTTTGTGTGTTTAGTTTTTTGTATGTTTATTATTGCCCCCGGAGTTATTCCCTGTGATGTATTCTTTGGCTCCTTGCCAGTCAGATTAGCTCATTTATTTTTTTAGATCTATATATTTATTGATTTCAGAGAGGAAGGGAGAGCTAGAGAGAGAGATAGAAACTTCTATATTGAGAATCATTGATCACCTGCCTTCTGCACGCCCCCTACTGGGGATCAAGCCCACAACCTAGGCATGTGCCCCAACCAGGAATCAGTTCACAGGTTCATGCTCAATCACTGAGCCACACCAGCAGGGCAGCTCATTCATTCTTAAACATTGACAGCTACCACAAAAGGCCAGTAAAAAAAAGACTTTTTGGTAATAACATATTTGAAGGGTGTTGCCCGTCTGACTAGAATTTGCACTCTGAAGCAAAACTCTTCACCTTCTCAGTAAGAGATGCTGAATGACCTTTTAGTCAAAATTTACTAGCTCTTGTTTTGTACATTGAAGTTAACTTGTTCAGTAATAATAATAACTAAGTAATATATGATGATTTAAAATTTTTATTTGGAGTAGCAAACTCCCCTGTGTTTTAGCAAAAATTATTTCCCCTTAGAATATAATTTTAAATGAGTTATTGTAATTTTAAGTATGATTTTAATTATGTCACCCCTAATTTCTAAATGAGTTTAATAGAAAAATAGGATGTGATACTCAGAAGTAACTTTTTAGGAAAAAGAATCTATTCTATAAAAACGAAGTTTAAATTTTTTTCTAGGGATTTAGAAAAGTACTAAGCAAAGATAAATTTTAGATAGTATTCTGATCAGGACTTCCCTCTTCAAATTATCAATGTGGCAAACCTTTAAACAGTCCTTTATGGGAAACTTAATACTAATACATGTAAGAACTGAGAATGTAATTAGAATTACATGGAATTTATAGTTTAACTAGAGGCCTGGTACATGAAATTCATGCATGGGAAGGGTCCCTAGGCCTGGCCAGCCATCAGGGCCAATCTGTGGGGTGACTGGCAGGGCGATTGGGGCCCCCGCTAGCACCTGCCTTGTCTGGCCTGGCGCCACCCACTCGCTGGCCCCACCCCCTACCGGTCAGGGCCTGTGAGCTGGGGGCAGCTCCTGCATTGAGCATCTGTCCCCTGGTGGTCGGTGTGCATCATAGCGACTGGTCATTCCACTGTTTGGTCAATTTGCATATTAGGGTTTTATTATATAGGATTGAGAGGGATGTGTCATTATACAGGATTTACAATATTGGGTCTTCCAGGCTTTTCCTCGACATATACTCCTTTAGGATTATCTTGTCAAGTTCTAGAAAAATAAGAACTATAATAACAAAAGTGTTATTTCCTTTAGTAAGGTTTTATGTTTTACTTAATGTAGGTTTTGTTTTTCATATTTAAGTGTTTGGTAAGGGAGAGTATCATTACTTTTTGTATTAGTAGTCTATATTAGTGGTAACTAAAATATTTACATATAAAATAGAATATGTATATTAAATTCTTGCTTCATTGTGTCTTGTGTCATAGTTTCTTATTGCCACAGTGCTTTACATGTAGTATATGCTGATGGAATTTCACTTATATATGCTGAAGGAATTTCAGTTTTGGGGAGAAAATTCTGTTTGACACTAGATATTGTCAGATGGAAAACCAATGTTAAACAGCCCTATCTATGTCAGCTTACTAAATTGAGGAAGCCTAAAAAGTTCCCCCAACCTCTGCAAACACCAGATTTCTTAAGAAATCAGAGTCCTTTCCAGAAAAGAGTTTCAGGGTTTCCCCCCCGGCTGCACCCAGGAGGAGCAGAACCCCATAGGACTTGCAGGCATGCAAGCTTTGGAATCACAGGTATGAGGTGCTTGCTACCAAAAATGGGGGAATTTGTAGGAAGTACAGTGTCAGATGATCAGAATTGTCGTTTTAACATGGTATTGATACCCTTCAAGGCAGAGTGCATTTGAGACAGAGAAATACAGAATCTGCATTAGAATTTGCAGTGTTAGAGTTTATTAGTCCACTAAGATCTAGGGCCTCCAATAAAAAAAAGAATGAAATCTTACCATTTGAGACAGCATGGATGGACCTAGAGGGTATTATGCTAAGTGAAATAAGTCAGGCAAAGAGATACAAATGCCATATGATTTCACTTGCATGTGTAGTCTAAAGAACAATATAAATGAACAACAAAACAGAAGCAGACTCATAGGTATAGAGAATAGACTCATGGTTGCCAGAGGGGAAGGGTATTGGGGAACTGGTGAAAAAGGTGAAGGGATTGAGAAGTGCATATTGGTAGTTACAGAATAGTCATGGAGATGTAAAGTACAGCATAGGAAATATGGTCAAGCCAAAACCGGTTTGGCTCAGTGGATAGAGCATTGGCCTGCGGACTGAAGGGTCCCAGGTTCGATTCCGGTCAAGGGCATGTACCTGGGTTGCGGGCACATCCCCAGTAGGAGATGTGCAGGAGGCAGCTGATCGATGTTTCTCTCTCATCGATGTTTCTAACTCTCTATCTCTCTCCCTTCCTCTCTGTAAAAAATCAATAAAAAATATATTTAAAAAAAAAAGAAAGAAATATGGTCAATAATATTGTAATAACTATGTATATGCCAGGTGGGTACTGAAAATATCAGAGGGAACACTGTAAAGTATATGATTATATAGCTACTATGCTGTACACCTAGAAACTAATACAAAATAATCCTGAATGTTAATTGTAATTGAAAATATTTTTTAAATTAAACAGATATATATATATATATATATATATAAAATCTAGGCCCTCCATTCCAGGGGCAGAAGAGTGGGGAAAAAGAGCTTACCACATGGGAGCAGAGTGAAAGGCTAGCGGCTGGTTTCCTCTAGTTTTAATGCTCAGTATCCTTGCTCACTAATAAACGTGACCCAAGAAATAATGGGATTATCAGTTTCTCTTCGTAAAATAGAGGGCCCAAAAGGAGTGGAGTGAAAAGCAGTAGAAGCATAAGCAGAAGGATGCCAGTCCCTTAGGAAGAAAGATGGAAATGTGGAGAGGGGATGCTGAATGTTTTTCCCCCCAACATCCATCTTTCAAGTTCTTAGCCTCCCATCACAGTAGTCACTAAAAGCTAATTTTCTTAGAAATCAACATAGGCCTTAAAGGGTCTGAAATGGTTCAGCATTGTAAGTAGTATAGTTTCCAGTAAAGTGTGTGTATACATTTTTCAAGAGGAAAAATTATGTGGTCTGATTAAAACCTTATTGTTTCAAAATCTCTAGGTCTATCGGTCATTGACAACAAACTGTGTTTTCAGTCTGGCAGCTGTAGAGCCAGCCATGATGCTCTTGGAAAATGTGAAGAAGCATCTGAAGCGTCCTGTGTGGATTAACGCTGATATTCTTCCCGGTCCCAATGGAAACAGCAGAGTAGTGGATGCAAAACCTTTTATAGACACTGTGACTTCCTTCTTTCCAGATGTGACCTTTTCCCTGGGTTGGACAACAGGATGGCATCCTGAGAAAGTTAATGAAGGTAATAATTTTTAAAAATGTATTTCTTGGTGGTCAAATTAAAATATACTCCAGCCCAACCGGCGTGGATCTGTGGTTGAGCGTTGACCTATGATCCAGGAGGTCACGGTTCGATTCCCCGTCAGGGCACATGCCTCGGTTGCGGGCTCGATACTCAGTGGGGGGTGTGCAGGAGGGAGACGATCAATGGTTCTCTCTCATCATTGATGTTACTATTTCTCTCTCCCTCTCCCTTCATCTATGAAATCGATAAAAAAATATTTTAAAAAATATAAATACTGAAAATACAAAAATACCTTCAATACAAAACCAAAAACACATTCCACAAAATCTAAGAGCCTAATGGAGAGAAAGGTCTGGCCCTAAAGATATGTGTATGATTCTTCTATTATTTCAGTAGACACTTCACTCACTGGTGACATTCTGTCACCAGCTTCCATGGGAAATATTTATTGGCAAGGTCTAGAATAATGAAAGCTGTCTCTGTACATTCTTTAAACAAATCCTAAGTTGGTCTCTTTGAACTTGTAAAACATTCTATAGTCTTTTTTTTTCTTTTTACTGTGGAGCAAGCTCCCATTGTTAGATGAAAGATTAAAAAAAAATGGTTTTAAGAGCTTTCCATGTGATTTGAGGCCAGAAGTAGGGGGAGTGTGAGTGCTGCTGCCTGGACATTGGAAGGGGCTCCCATGCAGGGTGCTGGGGCCTTGGTGCCCTCCTGCTCTCTTTGGCTGGACAAGGTGTGGGAGGCCATGCACTTCTTTCTCCTCTAGGCTCAATCCCTTCTTTCCTTCACATATTTCTACAGAAGGACCTGATATTTTCAGCTTCTCTTTTCTGGCTGAAACTTACTACACTATTTGAATTCATCTTTCTATTTCTTCATACATCCCTAGGTAGTAATTTCCAGGTAAACAGCCAGTAAGCCATCAGATGCTATGGACACCTGTCCATGCGGTTAAAATGATGAACTAAGAAGGTATTTAGAACCTATGGAGATGTGAGCTTTTATCCTGTGTTTAGGGCATTCATTTTTTACTTTTTTACTATTACTGTTTTTATTTATTTTTATTAAATGTATCGGGTTGACATTGGTTAATAGGAACATAGAGATTTCAAATGTACATTTCTGTGATACAAGATCTGTATATTTCACTGTGTGCCCACCACCCAAAGTATTATTGTTTTAGATAGAAAGTTTTTTAGTCTAGCATGAGATTTGAATAACTACTATCTAGTGACATTTAGGTTATAATCCCTTGGACCAATAATTGTTATGATTGAGAGAAAAAATAATATGTTTTAACTTAATTCTAGTTCAACTTTCTAATCATTCAAATTTTTATTAATTTCATTAAAAATTGTAACATATAATTTAAAGTGTTTAAAGAAGGTAAACCAGAAATGATTTAGTATCTTGCTTACTAATTCTGAACTTCTTTTAGTCACTGTTTAACTCAGACTTTAACCTCAGGCTTGAATTGAGTTAAACCATATCTGGGTCTTTAAGTCATGTTGGTGTTGAATTATTTAAGGCTGCTTTCCCCCACTGGCCTCTTGTCATTACCAACGTGTGTTTTATCCTCCCTTGCTTCTTATGCCACAAATTTTATAGAGAGATTTTATGTTTTTGTTAATGGAAGTATAGCTTCTGTTAGCAATAATGTTAAGTGTAGCTTCTATAAGCAAATTTTCTAATTAAAGATGTATAATTTTTTTTTCAGATTCAAAAGGAAAGCAGACATTTCCCTTCTTTCATGAGAAATTTAACTGCTAACCTAACATATTCACATAGGCTTTCTGCAAAATGCTCTTTTACTGACCAATGCTTTTTTACAACCTGCTTTTGATAGATTCTGGGTTATTTTAGAAATAAAATTTTTTTTTCTGAAGTTTTATAAACAGTTAGGTGTGATTTTTACAATGTCCTAACATGATTGAAAGCACATATATAAAAGTCTACCACTATGTCTATTTTAGGTAAAATGTATTAGAAATCTGGACTAGCCAAAAGCTTAAAAATTGAAGTTAAATGTCACCATGATAAATGAAAGAGTAATAAGTAAATAAATAAACAAATAAATAAAATTTAAAAATTTCAAGTTAATTATTACGTAATTAGCTAACCAACACCTACTAGCCATCTTTCTCTTAGAAAAGAAAATGTAATTAACATAAATGGAAGATCTTAGTTTATAGGGAATATTAATGATGAGGAAGTGCCTAAAAGTCTTAGAATCTTTAAAGTAACTACTGTGTCAAAATTTGATTTTTTTGCACTTGAAATATTAGTAAATTATTTTTTTCATTTATTGATTTTAGAGAAAGAAGAAGGGGGAGAGAAGGGAGAATATTTGTATTGTTCCACTTATTTATACATTCATTGATCGATGCTCGTATGTCCCTAACTAGGGCTCAAACCCGCAACCAGAATGATATGTAACCAATTGAGCTACCCAGCCAAGGCATTTTTTTTCTCAGATTTGCTGTAGATTACTTGTGGCATGATTTTAGATTTAACTTTCATCTACATTTTCCACCCAAAATATTTTCTTGCACTGTGATATTTTAATTCTATTTGTATTCAAATGAAAATTTGCATGAATTACCTGTGAATTTACATATGTAATTTAGTTTTTATTTAATTGACTTTAGTATTCTAGTAGAAAAGTTAAATTTCTTTCTTTTGATTTCAGGTTATAGTTGGACAATGGTGAAAGAGATGGAATGCATATGCAATGAACTAAGTCAGCCTGTAACTTTTCCTGTCAGAGCAGCATTAGTCAGACAGTCTTGTTCTCAGTTTCTTTGGCTGTTAAAGAAATCAAACAGGTATGTATAAGTTTAACAGCATAGAGTGTGCATGTGAGTGTGTGTGAAAGACAGAGACAAAGGATGGAAACTAATTATATCAAGACGGTGTGTGTAGGAGAGGATATGAACACTGATTCTGTAAGCATATAGACTCCCTCACCAGGGTGAAGCTTCTTAATGAACCTTAACATTGTCTCTTCCTCACAGTTTTTGCACATAGTAGGTGCCCAGTAAGTGTCACTTTTTTCATTGCTATACATTGACAAAGTTTTAAGCAGATAAAATAGTTACCCTCTGAATTCTATAATAATTTCAGAAGTCTATTCCATGAAAACTTTTTTTTCATCCTCACCCAAGGATATTTTTAATTGATTTTTTGAGAGAGAAGGAGACAGAGAGAGAGAGAAAGAGAAAATGAGAAACGTTGATGTAAAAGAGAACAATTGGCCGCCTCTACGAACCCTGACCAAGAATTGAACCCACAACCCTTTTGGCTTACGGAAGGACACTCCAGCCAACTGGGCCACCCGGCTGGGTTCTTTGTCTTTGAGGCTTAGTAATTTTACTAGGCTGTGTCTCCATAAGGACCATTCTGTATCTTATGGAGACACAGGCATGTGGACTTCTTTTCACTATGTAGATTCAAATGTTATTTTCTGAAATATTTCTGTGAATTATATTTTTATATATTTGTTCTTTTGCATTTGTAACACTATGATTTCTCTTTTAGGGACTCCTATTATGAATATGTAAATCTCCTTTGCTTGTCTTTGTTATCTATTATTTTCTCTCTAGTCTCTCCTTTTATTTGCATTTTATTTTACTTGATTTTATAATTTGTCTTTTCTGTCCCTTACTGTATTTTCAATAATGTCTTTTCTTCCTTGTATACCTTTAGATTTAATATTGTTTTTGTAATAGTATTAATTTTCCACTTCTTTCCTAAGATCTGCCAGTTAATGTTTTATCACCTCCTTTCTGTTGTCTTGCATTTGAGCTCATATCTCTGTTTTGTGCTCTTTCTTCAAAGAGGCAATTGCATCATTTAAAAAATGTTTGGTTGTGGTTTTCATCTGCTTTGTGGCATTCTTTTTGTTCATTTGTTTGATCTGTTTCAGCTATCTGATAGTTGTTTAAAGATGAGGCATTTATTATTCCATCTGCCATTTATTTTTTCTTATATTTTGTTGTACTCTCTTGTATAAAACCTCTGCCAAATTATTTTGATTATTCTACTTTAACGAAAGTGAGGTCTTCTAGATCAGCTACTTGTCCAAAGTTCATATTTGAGAGGAACCAGGACTGTGGTTCTTATGACCCAGAGAGGCTCATGTGTGAGTTTGTTTAACCTTTAACTTCTCCCCAGTCAGTGCTGATAGGTGGTTGTAGTTTAAGTAAAATCTTTCATCTATTTCTTAAATTTAAAATGTTGGGTTTCCACAGCAGTGGCCTTGTTCCCTATGGCATTCCTTTGTAAAGTCTTTCCTTGTCTACACTGCTTCTCGGGACCAAAGCTGATCCAGGAAAGCTCTGCAAAGTGTTTAGGTGGAAATTGCTCCTCATCTGTGAGTGGTGTTTGTAGGCTTCCTCTGTAAACTGCTACATGGGCGAACTCCATCTCCTTATATACCCGTCTGGCCTTAATGTATTGCTACTGGAATCCTTTTTTACCTGTTTTGTAATTTTCAGTTTCAGCTCTTTCTTAATTTCATTGAATATCAAGTTTCTGTTTTCATTCTTCTGTTCTTTTTGCTGCTTTTGGATGATTCTTAGGAGAAAAGGGAAGCAGGGCTGACTTTAGGCTGCCATGTTCAAATAGGATGTTCCTACTATCCCATTTCTTTCATTATCTCTTGCCTCAATTTTCTCATCTTCCACTTCTTGTGTAGCCAATCACTCTCCTGAAATTTCTCATTTGAAGATCACACTTTGTTCAAGCCAAATTCTTTACCTCTGCAACACTTAATTAAGTACTGCTGGTCACCCCCTTCAGTCTGAAACTTCCTTGTCTTTCACCTCATGGCATTGCACTAAGTGGGTTCTTCTGTATCTGTCTAGTTCTTCTTTGTTGTTGTTGATGATGATTTCTTTTTCTCCATCCTTAATTTTGCATTTCTCTTGACTCCATCTCTTTTAGAGTTTTCTTGTTTTAAATATGAAAGGTGAAATAATAAAGCTTTAATGGAATATAGCACTAGAAACTATCTTTACAACATTGGGCAAGGGGAAGAATTCTTAAACAAGATACAAAAATCACTAGCCATAAGGGATATGTTTGAGTAATTTGAATACATGAAAATTCAGAAATTCTTTCTATCAAATGATACCATGAAGAGCATGAACAGGCTAGACAGAATTAGGGAAGATTTTTATCTAATCTAATAAAGAGGGAATATGCAAATTGACCTCACAAAGATGGCGGCACCCAGTCCCCTCAGCCCTGCGGGAGTCTCCCAGTCATTTCAGCCCCGCTGCTGGCAGCAAGCAGGCAAGCAGGCCTCGCAGAGAGCAGAGAACCATGGGGAGGGGCCTAAGCCGTCAGTAGGACATCCCCTGAGAGCTCCTGGATTGGAGAGGGTGCAGGTCGGGCTGAGGAACCCCCCCCCCACACACACACACACACACGAATTTCGTGCACCGGGCCTCTAGTTAAATTCATAAAGAACTATCATCTATTACTTGTATATCACAATTTATTTATCTCTTCTATCATTGAATGACATTTAGATTGTTTCATGTTTTTATTGATTTTAGAGAAGGAGGGAGAGAGAAACAGCTGTGTGAGAGAGAAATATCAAATGGCTGCCTTTGCACACCCCCTACTGGGGAGTGAGCCCACAACTTGGGCACGTGCTCCGACCAGGAATAGAACAGGTGACCTCTTGGTGCATGGGACGATGCTCAATCTGCTGAGCCATACTGGCCAGAGCTGTTTCATGGTTTTGACTATTACAAAAGATTGCTGCTAAGAACATTTATACACACACACACACACATCATGGTGCACATGTGCCTGCATTTAGAACAGTTATATCAGGAGGGAATTCTAGGAGTAGAATATTTAGGTCTTAGAGTATTCATATTTTCAACTTTAGTAGATAATGCTAAACTATTTTGCAAAGAAAATGAATAAACTGTAGCTACATGATTCAACTTGGATAAATTTCACAAACAATGTTCAACAAAAGAATCAAGACCAAAAATTATATTCTATACCATATGATTCCATTTATGTAAAATTCATTAAAAGGAAAAATTAAACTGTTTTATTTAGGGATGAATACATAGTTGGTAAATTAAGAAAAGCAAGAAGGTGGCTACCACAAAAGTCAAGGTTGTGAGGACTCCTGGGGAGGGCAAGGTTGTGGTGGGCAGTGACAAATGTGCCTCTCGAGGTGCTGGTAATGTTCTATTTCTTGACTTGTTTTAGTTACACTGGAGTTAATTTTCTAATAATTTGTTAAAATGTACACATGCATTTTTCCTACATATGGTATTTCACTATAAAAAGGGCTTTAAATATAAGACCTGAGAATTGATTTGAAGGAATACAATTCAAGATATCCTTGGGCAATTTTATTTTTCCTATTTCAGTTTAAGTACAACAGGGGGAAGATTAAAAGAGAGAACTCTAGAAAGCTCTGGATAGCTCTTCTTTTTTAAAAAAAAAAATGTATTTTTTATTGATTTCAGAGAAGAAGGAAGAGAGCGAGATTGAAACATCAGTGATGAGAGAGAATCATTGATTGACTGCCTCCTGCATGCCCCCTACTGGGGATTGAGCCCACAACCCAGGCATGTTCCCTTGACCAGAATCGAACCTGGAACCCTTCAGTCCACAGGTGGACGCTCTATCCACTGAGCCAAACCGGCTAGGGCTGGAAAGCTCTTTTTTAAACCTCAGTTCACATCATGTCTTTTTATACATTTTGTCACCATGGTGCTCAAATACAGTAGATGCCATATTAGCAAAAATAATAGATTTATAAAGTAGTTCTCATTTTCTTTTCTGTGTTCTCAGAATTTAAAAGTCCATTTTGATTTGTCACATAATATGGCTATGGAAGAAGATCCAAAGTACTTCCCTCTATTACATTTCCAGAATGGTGTCATCATCCTTAAGGACAGGAATGTGTCAGTATAACAAGAATATATGCCTTCGTTAGACCACTTTTTGATCATTGGTAGAAAAAATGCTTTGGAGATTTTCCCCTGGATTTGACTTGTTTATGGGGAAAATAAATACGAAATTAACAGCTTTGCATTTCTCTAGACTCCAGTGCAACAGGAAAATGTCACTGAAATGAAAATATACAGTTTAAATAGCATTAAAATTCTGAGCATATTCTTTTTTAAAATATATTTTTATTAATTTCAGAGAGGAAGGAAAAGGGGAGAGGTAGAGAAACATAAATGATAAGAGAGAATAATTGATTGGCTGCTTCCCGCACACTCCCCACTGGGGATTGAGCCTGTAACCTGGGCATGTGCCCTTGACTAGAATCGAATCTGGGACCCTTCAGTCCTCAGGTCGATGCTCTATCCACTAAGCCAAACCGGCTAGGGCTGAGCATATTCTTATATCCATAACAAATCTGCATATATTATTAATGTTTTTTAACTCCAGAAGTAGATCTAAATTTATTCCATTTGGTATTTTCAGTGACATCTTGTAGCATATCTCAGACAAAAATCCCCAGAAGGAATAGTGAAGCCACTTACAAAGTGAATGAGTGTTGGGGGTGTCAGTGGCACTTGTGTCTGTTCACAGTCTCTTCCAATTGTGCGCTGACTCTGGTCAGGCTACTGACGAAACTCAGGTTAGAGCTATAGTGTTTGTGTCGAGAACAGATTCCTTGATCAGCAGTGCAATCTCCTCAGTTCTTTTGTCCAAAATTTGGCCTATTTTCAGTGCTACTAGTCTGGGTTTCTAAAGCCATTTAACATTCCTGTAATTCAGATACAGCAGTTAGCTAATTTAGCAACAGTAATGTAATTTTTTTCCTCTTTAGTCCATTTAATGTTGATGAAGGCATGAAGGGATAATTTCGCCATTGCTAATTAATTTTTTTTTATCGGTGTGCATTTTGGTTGGAGACAAACTATTTTAGGCTTATTGGAATTCCTCATCACTGTTTCTTATCTTCCACTTTTAATACAGAATTCTGTTTTATTTTAATGCAGGTACAGCCTGACTATATGGACTGGAAAAAATGATAACTATTCCATTGAAGATTTACTTTGTATTAGAGACTATTTTGACAAAAAACAAGTTTTCTATGATATCTTGGAACCACAAAATTGTGAATTTAAACAAGCCATTGGAATCAAAGTTAATCTCTAAGAAGAAGATTCTTCTAAATTATTTGGTTTCATAATCCTTCTCTGCTTTGGTCTGAATTAATTACCATATAAATTGTGATTGAGTTATGCTCCAATTCATCCAATCAAAAAATACGTATTGAGTCCTAGCTGGTTTGGCTCAGCAGATAGAGTGTCGGCCTGCGGACTGAAGGGTCCCAGGTTCGATTCGGGTCAAGGGCATGTACCTGGGTTGCGGGCACATCCCCAGTAGGGGGCGTGCAAGAGGCAGCTGAATAGATGTTTCTCTCTCATCCATGTTTCTAACTCTCTATCCCTCTCCCTCTCCCTTCCTCTGTGTAAAAAATCAATGAAATATATTTTAAAAGAATACGTATTGAGTGCTTACTGTGTATTAGGCATATGTCCTTATAATACTGTACTTACCTAAAAGATTTGGAAAGAAGAGATTTCATTGAGCCTAATCTAATAATTTAGAAAAAATGATATTTAAGACCCTTTATAAAAAATAATTCTGATATACTGAAAATAACTGAAAGAATCCATGTGTCATAATAGGTATGAATCACATTTTGTTGGCACTTACATTCCAGAGATCCACAAAAATGTGGCACCCTCTTCCCATTTTCCTGGAGAATTGGTTATTTCAGAGACTACAGAAGAGTAAGAAGGCTGCAGAAGTGTTTTTATTTATTACTAGAGGCCCAGTGCACAAAATTTGTGCAAGGGGCTTGGCCCTTGCAGCCCCAGCTGCCTCGGCCGGCCCTCGCAGCCCCAGCTTCATCCAGAAGGTCATCCGGACGGTTGTTCGGTCTAATTAGCATATTAGCTCTTTTTTATATAGGATTATTATTACTTTAAATATATTTTTATTGATTTCAGAGAGGAAGGGAGACGGAGAGATAGAAACATCAATAATGAGAATCATTGATCAGCTGCCTCCTGCATGCCCCCTACTGGGGATCGAGCCCGCAACCTGGACATATACCCTTGACTGGAATTGAACTCGGGACCCTTCAGTTCATAGGCCAAGGCTCTATCCACTGAGCCAAACCAGGTAGGGCCAGAAGTGTTAACTATTATAAGGCTGAACAGCTTTCTCATAACAAAATCGAATTCACTTACTGAATAAATTAAATTGGGTGGACCTAGAATTTTCATATTGTTGGGAGCATGCTGACTGCTATGCATATCTTTGTATTCATTGTTTCAATCATAGTATCTTCTCTATAGTGAGCAAAATACTCTTGGAATTTTAATCCTGGTAATATATCATTTGATTTTCACGTTTCTCACCAGCACCACCTTAGTTCATGCCCTTGATCTGCTCCTAGAATTTCAAAACCTAATTCTTCATAACTTCATTCTTCACACTCAGAGATACCCTGAGTATTTCTACATACATATCTGATTCCTGTTGCAAACATCTGTGACTTTCCATTGGGATGCCAGTGATTTATTCTACTTAATGGAATGAAAAATCCCATAGGATGGTTTTACAATCAGCTCCTAAGGGTTCTTGGGATTGATAGAGGACTACAAATTCTTCTAAATATGGCCAACGAAGTTTTAATCCTACTAAATATATATATTTTTATATTGGGATGAGAATAGAAACGAGTTTTTCTTTCATAGTTTTCTATTTACTCAAAGTAACATGTGGCACAGCTTCTCTTGAGATTATGTTGAAATATTTATCATTAGTATTTGAGATAAATAAAAAACAGTGATAATTAAAATAACATTTTAAAACTTTATTGATACCATTTTGTTTATGAACTAATCTATTTACATACTTTCCAGTCTGTATCCTTACAACTTAAAGCGAAGCACTTTTCTCAATATTAGAACTTGCAAAAAAGGATTTAGCTGCCTATAAACACCAGGTACAATTCTATGTTCTAAATAAAAAAATATTTCTAATATAATTAATATTAATGTTCTTCAAAACATTAAATGGAACATCTCCAGGTTTTTTCCCAAATAAAAGCCACAAGAAATTAAATACTTACTATATACATTATAACTTGTTTATATCAAATTACCAAGAAAAGCATGATGCCCATTGTCAGGATCTCCTTACTGACAAAAAGCAAAGAAAGTTGTATATGACAACATCAAATTAATACACTCAGGTTCTGTATAGTTTGATTTATTCTGTGCTGTAAACCGCTAGATTGAAATAAAGATTTTTTTGTATAAACACCATATTTTGAAATTTTATAGATAATGTAGTCATTTTATAATAGTAGCATGGTTTTCATTTATTTTGTTAAAAATTATTCACAGTATTCACAGGTCATACAATACTACATTTTTGGAATGTCATACGAAGGAAATTATCCTTATACATCTTTATTATAGAAATGTCTAATAATTATATATTAGAAATAAAGACATTGTTTAATATTGACTGACTATTTAGTACATTTTGTAATTAAGTTTCTACTGACTTTCTTAACTTTAGCTCACCTAAGCTAATAATCATGTGGTTTCTTTTTTTTTTTTTAATAAAATAAAGCAAGCATTTAGTTTCTATTTGTGATGAATCTCAAACTTTTGGGATATTTTTGGGATTGTTTTTAGAAAGACAAAAATAAGAGGAATGTTTTTTAACTTTAAAATATATTTTCATTGGGAACGTATGGATAAACTTCAAAAAAATTAACAGGAATTAAAGGTATGGAAAATGAAGAATTCCGTAACATTTTTGTTTAAATGTTTAAAAAAACAAAGCAAATCAAAAAACAGCACACAAACACTTGGCATAGATTATTACTACCACGTAAAATTTACCTACCATTTAACACTGATTAAGCTAACAACAGGAACATTAGTTTCTCTGTCTACTATAATGATTGACCATTAAAATTTTAACTAGATTTTCATCTACCTGCAGTCAACATTATATATATTTTATTGATTTCAGAGAGAGGAAGAGAAACATCAATAAGAGAGAATCATTGATTGGCTGCCTCCTTTACACCCCACACTGGGGATTGAGCCCGCAATCCTGGCATGTGCCCTGATTGGGAATGGAACCATGACCTCCTGTTTTATAGGTCGATGCTCAACCACTGAGCCACACCGGCGTGGGCAACATTTTTAAAGAATCAGTTCATCCTTTCTTTGTAGTTTAAGCTTATAGATCATAGAACATTTAATAGCTGTCAGTATTTTCTTTTAGACTTTTTTTTTTTTTTTAGTTAATCCTCACCCAAATAATGGAGCATATTTTTTCCTTTGCTTTTCAGAGAGAGTGGAAGGGAGAGAGAGGGGAGAAATACTTTAGAGAAAAATACTTTTAACTTTTGAGAAAAATACTTCTGTCTTTGAGAGAATTCCTTCACCAGAAACTATAGAGTATTTGTGTCCACAGTGCCTCGTATGATACACATGTTGATCCCCCTAACCATTATGGACTAACCAATTACAATATTTAAAAGGATGAACATTTGAGATTTCTTCTCTAGTTGTATATTTCTCTGATAAAGACATATGAACAAAATATGTTTTCCAGCCATCTCTTAAAAATTTACTAACTGCTTAATTTGTTCTGTTTGCAATGACTGTCTCCTTAACATTTTTTTACTTTTAGGGAAAATAGGTACTGTTGGCATAAGCACTTTTTGACCGCAAGAAAGAAGGCTGGGAATCTTGGTGACATTGATATCTGTGATGGGAGGGTGAGGATTCACATTTAAGGGTGGCAGAAATCCTGGTCTGGTTTGGGGAAAACTGTGATCTAAAGGGAAGGCTCCTGACCCACGCCTTTCTAACACTGCATGGTTCCTCCTGCTCAGGGGACCTGGGGGGATATTCTCCAACAACTCTTTGGACCCTGACAGCAAGGAAGGAGTTGGTGAGAGGATCTTTTTCTTTCCGGTAAGTGCTTTGCCATCTTCTGAAGTTGTAGGGATTAGACCAGCTGAGAGCTGGGAATCGGAGCTGTAGTGGTTTGCCCCTGAGTTTCTTTTTTGAACTATACTTCTTAAGGTGGAAGCAAATATTGCCTGGTTAGAGTCTGGGTCCTGGTCAATAGGGATTTCAATGCATTGCTGATTTCCTTCGGAAAAACATGACCGATAATTCATTTCATCATATGATGTCTTTCTTGGGCTGGCCTGATCAAAGGCTCTTAGCAAATGTGCCGTGTCTTTTATGTCAATACTTTGGTGCCTAGTGATGAACCGCTTGGAAAGTGCCAGCCCATTGGTTTTGTAGGATAATTCTTCCTCGGGGGTAATATCCTGGAGCTCCTCTTGCAAAGAGGCCACTCTGTTCATCAATGAGGGGGCACTCTTGACCCAGGGTGGCTTGGGCCCATTAAGGGCCACAGCAGGCTTCCTCACAGGGGAGCCCAAGTCCCGGGAATCATCACAGCTTCCCAAGAACTCCAGATCATTAAAGCCAAAAACTCTCATTTCGGTCTCAGAAGAATGTGAAAGTGGCATCGAGGCTGTTTTTATGTCTATTTCTGAAGGAGTGACACAGGTGGCTTGGGAATGACACCCATCTATATCCGAAGGAGGCATATTTAAGTACTGCTGGGTAGTGTGCCTGCCAGAGGGCGATTTCGCTGTTGTTATGATAATGACCTCTTTTCCTTTAGCCTTGCAAGCACTAAGTAGAACTTTCAGGGTCTCTTTATCTTCTGAATTGAGAGCATAAACAAGGGCTGAGTAACTAGAATGGTCTTGCAAGCTGAGGTCGGCCCCACTCTGTAGGAGCAAGGAAACAACTTCAGGGCCCGCTTTCTCTAAGCAAGCATGCATCAGAGCGGTTTTCCCAGATTTGTCCTGTATGTTGGGATCAGCATTGTTTTCTAACAGGTATTTAACCATTTTGGCTTTACTGACACTCTGGTGATCCACATGTTTGGTCTTACAGGCGATCATTAAAGGTGTTTCCCCGCGGTCATTGCTCTCATTGATGTAGGCGCCGCCTTCCAGCAGGAGTCTTGTGAGGCGAAGCCGGCTCAGATGGACTGCTTTTATCAGGGAATTTCCATCACTTGAAATTTCCACACCTTCATCCATCTTCAAAAGTCAGAAATCAATACCTGCTTATCAAAGAAGATGAAGACCAAAAGATTAGCCAAAATCAATGTCCTCATTTATACTCATGTTGTTGCATACAATTTCTGAAATATGTATGAAGAAAGAGGACATAAATGAGATGGTTATTAATAAGTACAGGACAAAATAGTGAATTACAAAATTAAAAAATTTTAGACTAGTAACAAGCTTTAGGAAGTTACAAACTAAAATTTACTTTTAGAATCTTCACTGAATATTTATGCTGTAACACCAACCTAGTACTGTATACATATTCCATCGTACAATAAATAATAGTATCATACAAAAGAACATGTGAAATATCCCACATTAATTAAATGATAATCAGCTTTTTAATCCAAGCCCTTTAATCATGAGACAGTCAAAACAAAAAGCAAAAGAAAAGGCCTCTTACATGAAAAATACAGAGACCAGAACAAACAGAATAAAAGCAACTTGGAGGTTACAGATATTAATTAGTCAGGAAAATGAAAACTGCAAAAGCTCATTATCCCCAAAGGGATAAGATGTGGTAACCAAGAAACAACAAGATTCTATGGAAAAGTGAGTAAGATCCAGAGACTCTTCAGCTTATCTCCTGAGAGCTCCATCATATGTTATTGGCAATATTGACCTTTCTTTATTCATCCAATTTTTCAAAAATAAACAATTAATTTACTTAAGAATCGTACATAAATGGGAAACTGAAGAGAAAAGCAAAAGGAGTGATTAACAAAATCAAGAGGAAGTTATCTCTTGGGGGTGGAGTGTAGAGAGAACAATAAAATCTGGGAGGGAGGCCTGGGGAATTTCAAGATTCAGGTAATGTTCTGTTTCTCTCCCTGGGCAGCATGGATATAGATGTCCATTTTATTATTGTTTTTTAAAACAGTACATATTTCACATGTTCTTTTGTATGATTCTACTAATCTATTTATTGTAAAATGGAACATGTATACAGAAAAGAGCATAGGATATGTTTCATAATTACGTTTTACAAAGGGTCTATCACATCTTAGTTTTTACAACATAATTCAGTTTTTGTGGTATTACCAACAGCATTGATGCCTAGATATTCAAGGAGCTTCAGCTACTATGTTCCTGAAAGGCAGCATTCAAAAGAATATCCTTACTAACTTCCTCGTTAGTATCATTCCTGATGCTAAGCAGAGGACAACTACTCAATATACACATACATAAACACAATGAAAGTGAATGCTGTGATCTACTTTATGATCTACTGAAGTTATTCCAGAGCCAGACATACCTGCAACTCAGGAACTTAGGAATTTTAGGACTGGCTGACAGCGTGGGTCCCAACCCAGAGGTCTATTCTGAATGCAAAGCATCTGAAAAGAGCTCACGTGAGACAGTGATTCAAAAGAAACCTTCTTTTAGCATTTTTAAACTACAAATGTGTTTAATAGGATTAAAGCAACAGGATTTAGAGAAATGATTGGAACATAATATTAAATATAGAAACCACTTAGTAACTGCAGTTCAAGAAGAAAATGGTATCAATAATGTAAAAACACTGTTGACCAAAAGCAGCATTTGAGAAACAGATACTCAAATGAGAACAAGTTCTCAGATACCACATTTTAATATTATACTCTCATATAGTTTTTAGTATTGGGGTCAATACTGGTTTTTTTAAAATACTTCTTTTTTTTGCCTACATCACATTCTCGTCTATAACTTTTTAAAAAATTTTTATTATTGAAAGTATTACATATGTCCCCCTTTATCCCCCATTGACTTCCTCCAGCCCACTGCTCCTCCCAACCCAGGCCTTCACCACCGCACTGTCTGCGTCCATGGGTTCTGCATATATGCATAGGTCTTTAGATGATAACTCTTTTTTTAAAATAGTCTTATAAGGAACTTTGAGATTTTTAAACCTTTTCACCTATCCTCATGTAACAGCCGTTTTCCACAACACTAATTCTGACTACTTTCTGTCACAACTTTCCTCAAAGCTGGCATCAGGAGGTTCTGGGAGATGAAGGGGGGCTGGCAACGTACTGCCTGCTGGGGTGCCACACCGTAGTCCTGTGGAAAGGGAGGGTGCTGTGGGCTCCAGGGCCTCAGAGAAGCTGAGCAGTCCCACCACTAGCTCCTGGCAACCAGTGAATCTATCTGCCATGTGGGCGTAGGCAGACTCTCTCGCCCGAGAACTGGAGGACTGTCTAGCAAAAACAACTCCATGAGGCTTACCAGTACTCTTTGTTCATTAAAAAACCCCTGGATTGATCACTTTTTAAACTGTTCACATTTAGTAGAGCAATTCTGAAAATCTTTAAACATTAAATTTTTCAGAGGAAAAAGTTGTCAAACACTTTCTTCTCCACATATGAACATAGCTGGTCTCTTAGTGTCTCATTTGTAATTAGTACCTTTTTGGAATAATGCCCTTGTCTTTATCTATACCCTCATCCTCTTTCACACTTGGTTCCTTTATCTTGCCCCAGCCATTTGCACAGCAAAAACGCTGACAATGAAGTTTGACTTATTTACTCTTCCTAGAGGTAAGTCCTACCTGTGTGTGACAAGACCACTTCTTTCACCCACAGTTCTCCTAGTTCAGAAATGGCCTTGCCTCCTATCCCAACCTGTGGAACCATCACTGAACATTAGGTGCTGACACCATCTTCACGTTCAGTCAGACCCTTGGTTATAATCTAGCTTATAAATGATCCCCAAGTTCAGTTTTGCCTTCCCAACAGATAACAGTTCAGCTAGAGAATGTTTGGGGGTTAGAGAGACCCAGGTTTTTATCCCGACTCTCCTACTTATTAGCTGAATGCCCTGCTCAAGTCTCTCAGCCTCAGAGCCTTGGACTCCTCATCAGTGGAAAGGTAATCAGATAACATTCATCCCCTGGTGAAATCAATATCTACAAAAAGACTTTCTTGTTGTGCCTTCTTATTCACTGCACTCTTCTTTTAAAAAAATTTGATCCCAGAATTTAGCCTTTTTTTATTTTTACCATGTCCCTAATCCACAGCCTACTTAAATAACAGGTAAAATATTTAAAAAAAATTTTTTTAGGATGTGCAAATAATGTTCCCTAAACATAAATGGTATTTACCAAAATATGGGATGAAGACATCCTTTAAGCATATTTTCTTTATAATTTTCTAGTACAATAACTTCAACATTATTATAAGATATTAATTATTAAACAGCTGGATAAATTGTCTTTTTAAAAATATGTCTTTATTGATTTTAGAGAGGAAAGGAGAGGGAAAGAGAGAAACATTGATGTGAGTGAAACATCAATCAGTTGCCTTCCACATGCATCCCCACCAGTGACCGAACAGGCAACCTGGGCATATGCCCTGATTGGGAATTGAACCAGTGACCCTTCAGTGCACGGGACAATGCTCAACCAACTGAGCCACACTGGCTGGGGATAAATTGCTTTTTATTTTAAAACTAGAGGCCTGGTGCATGAATTCAGCCTGTCCAAAACGGGCTCTCCAGTATCCTCGAGGGGTCCCAGATTGTGAGAGGGAGCAGGCCAGGTCGAGGGACCCCATTGGTGCATGATAGGGGCCGGGGAGGGACGTGGGAAGTTGGCCAGCTGGGGAGGAATCATGGGAGGGCTCCATGGTGTATCCAGCCAGTCTGGCTCAGTCCCAATCGGTGGGACCCCAGCAGCAAACTAAACTACCGGTCATAGTGCCTTCCCCCTGGTGGTCAGTGCACGTCATAGCGAGCAGTGGAGCGGCCTTAGCATATCATTAGCATATTATGCTTTGATTGGTTGAACGGACAACTGGATGACTGGACACTTAGCATATTAGGCTTTTATTGTATAGGATTAGAACATCTTTAAGATCACTTGCAATTCATTATGGTGTATTTACTATACTCATTTGGTCCTCTCTCTGTTCTCAAGATGCCACTAAAATTACAATTTTGTTATTTTAAAAAATGAAAAAGATACATATCCTAAAGAACAAAGAAAACTGGAGGATAGATATCAGGGGAGCAATTTCAAACAAGCTTTGGAAACAGAGCAGGGATGGTGGTGTGGTAAACTGTCTTCGCATTGCAGAGGCTGCAACAGAAATTACCAGGGGGATGAGCAGGGAACCAGCTTACCCCTAAAGCACATGAAGTTTAGGACGCAGAGGCCCTAAGTGACACAGCAAGTGGCAATGAGGCGCAGGGCTGAAAATGAGAGGATCGCTCAAAGCCTGTGGACAGAACAAATGGACCCCAGGTTCTTTACCCCACCCCAAGTAGCAGACTCTTTTAGGCAAGAAAACAAAGGTTTATTCTCTGAACAGATTGATCAGAAAAGCTCTAAACCTCATGGCAGCATCCTGAAAACAGAGGGATAAAGTGAGAGTCTACAGGCTGAATGGTGCACCCACCCCAGCTTTCTGCCCTGCTACCTGAAGACTGGATGCCAGGCTAAAGAAGTCAAAAACACTGGATCTTAGAATTATGACCCCTTTTAAAAACATCTGACAATAAATGAAGCAATTCAAACCATAACTGCATTCGCCTCTCCAGACACCCACTCTACATGGAAATAGAAAGTTACCTGAAAACATTATTCAAAATTTCATACTCCACTTATGCCTTTTCTCCCCCTGGATGCGTTTTCTGTCAGCCAGCTGTCAGTTCCTACGAAGGAATCAAAGCTATTCAGTTACGTAAATACCAATAATTTGTTGCACTCATCTCTCCCATTTGGAGTCTAGTTTTTTTCATTCCTTAAGACATCCCTACAGTGTTTGTTCAGTTAATCACATTTCACTGATTATGAGTCTGTAAAAGTGGGTCTTATGCGTGGCAACCCTCTGTGTGTCTGCAGGATGCAGCCTGCCCTGTAAGCATGGCTGGCATAGGAAGGGAATCGGCACGCACCAGGTCAGGCCCCCATTCTGTGGAGGGGAGGGGGCTGCGAAGGGAAAGGTGGGAGCTCTCCCAAAGTCACTTCTCTTATTCGCCTGCACCCCAGGGCT